GCATCAGAGGGGCAAGACGGGAGATAAGGAGAGGAAAGAGACAGCATCAGAGGGCAAGACGGGGAGCTAAGGGAAGGAGACAGCATCAGAGGGGCAAGACGGGGCTAAGGAGAGAAGGAGACAGCATCAGAGGGGCAAGACGGGGAGATAAGGAGAGGAAAGAGACAGCATCAGAGGGGCAAGACGGGAGCTAAGGAGGGGAAGGAGACAGCATCAGAAGGGCAAGATGGGGAGATAAGGAGGAGAGACAGCATCAGAGGGGCAAGACGGGGAGATAAGGAGAGGAAAGAGACAGCATCAGAGGGGCAAGACGGGGAGCTAAGGAGGGGAAGGAGACAGCATCAGAGGGGCAAGACGGGGAGATAAGGAGAGGAAGGAGACAGCTAAACAACTTCTTTCTCTACCAAACTAACACAATCTTGTATCCTCGCTAAGCTGATAAGGGATATAAAGGCAGATGAGTAGCGGGAGATAATGGTGTTTGTCAGAGATTACCCACTTCCCCGCCCCGCCGCCCACTAACTCCCTTGTACACTCCTGGGACCAAAGCTGAATGGCCATCACCTGAAGATTAACCACACTGTTGCTAACCTATTCCAAAGGTGTGTACATAGACAGTGTAGGTGGTAGGTAGACAGTGTAGGTATATAAACAGTGCAGGTATAGTAAACATAGACAGTGCAGGTAAACAAACAATGGTAAACAGTAAATATATTTGTCCCTGGCCAGCTGGACAAGGCCACAATAAGGTTGGAGACCATTAGTTAGATACAAGGATGAATTCTAACTCCCTCTTCTGGCCAATACTACTCACGATGCTTCATTGTTTACATCCTGTTGTTCTTTATTAACCTTAACTCTGGCCCCAATACCACCCTAGCAACACCCCCATCATACCCCCAACACACTCCTAGCGCCTCCATGACACTCCTAGCGCCTCCATGAACACTTCTCGTTCCTCCATGACACTCCTGGCGCCTCCGTGACACTCCTGGCGCCTCCATGACACTCCTAGCGCCTCCATCACACTCCTAGCGCCTCCATGACACTCCTAGCGCCTCCAGCTGACACTCCTGGCGCCTCCATGACACTCCTGGCGCCTCCCGCATCACACTCCTAGCACCTCCACCCAGCCTCCCCGCGCCTCCACTTGACACTCCCTAGCGCCTCCATGACATTCCTCGTTCCTCCCCTGTCCTCCAGCGCCTCCGCAGCATTCCTCGTTCCTCCTGTCACTCCCTAGCGCCTCCATGACATTCCTCGTTCCTCCCTGTCCTCCTGGGCCTCCATGACATTCCTCGTTCCTCCCTGTCCTCCTAGCGCCTCCACTGACATTCCTCGTTCCTCCCCTGTCCTCCCTGCTTGCCTCCATGACATTCCTAAGCACCTCCATGGCCTCCCTAGCGCCTCCATGGCTTGCCTCCTGGCGCCTCCATGACACTCCTAGCGCCTCCATGACACTCCTAGCGCCTCCATGACACTCCCTCCTCCTGACTCCTAGCGCCTCCATGACCTCCTGTTCCTGTCCTCCTAGAACCTCCATGGCACTCCTACTCCACCTCACCCCACCCTAGGACGATGGTTTAATCTGTAACCCTTTGAAGACCAGACCAGACCAGATCAGAAAAGACCAGACCAGACCAGATCAGAAAAGACCAGACCAGACCAGATCAGGAAAGACCAGACCAGACCAGACCAGATCAGGAAAGACCAGACCAGAAAAGACCAGACCAGACCAGACCAGAAAAGACCAGACCAGACCAGACCAGATCAGAAAAGACCAGACCAGATCAGATCAGAAAAGACCAGACCAGATCAGAAAGACCAGACCAGATCAGAAAGACCAGACCAGACCAGACCAGACCAACACCAACAAAGATTCAGATAGATTATAGAGCCAAGATTGTGTAACAGACACGTGGCCGACCGCTTTAATCGTTGACAGTAGCGAAGAGGTTAAAGTAAAGTAAAGTAACACAGGAGACTCGTATATCACTCGCAGTACAACTTTGAATCCGTACAAAAATGGCTACAATATTTCACTGAGACTCTACCTGAACTAGAATTGACATATACTACAATTACGGTGAGGCTAACCTAACCTAACCAAACCTAACCTGGTCCTGGACACGTTATATACATAACAGGTATGTGACGTCACGGGACGGTGTTCTACTGTAGGTAAGATGGTGGTCGGGTTGTGTGCGTGGGGGGACGTGGGTATGTGCGTGAGTGTATATGTATGTGTGTGTAAGTAGGTGTATGAGTGTATATATAACTGTGTGTGTAAGAGTATACACATATGGTACAAAACCGGTTCGCCAGGAAGGACTCGGCAGCAGGTTTCAGAAAGATATAATTATTCTCAGAACCGCACACGAGACGTCAGGTAACTAACCCTTCAAGGTGACAGTAACCAGTTTCAATCCTGGCTGAAAAAAAACCCCAAAGAACTACAAATACTCTTACAGCTCCTGGTCGTTTAGTTTAAGAAAAGTGGAGGAATACAAGTTTTAATACGTATATAATAAACCTCTTTTATTATCATCATCATCATCATCATCATTAATTTAACTGCTTTATGAACGCCTTCCATATAATCTCCCTTGTGCTTCTATAATTTACCGTCTATATTCAGTAAGCAATATCTATAACTTCTCACGATCGTCTATCCCAGTGGTTCTCAACCTTGTTTGCCCCATGCACCCCTTTCACCATATGTCAGAATGTCATTCCCCCCTCCTTTCCAAGATTGTCTGCCTCAAAAAGTGCATTCCAAATAATATGCATATAATACTGAAAATCCTTTATTTTTTCCATATTAATACATATACATTTACAATTTTACATGGATTATTTTTATAGTGGAGTTTTACAAATTAAATGCCAATTGAAAATGTTGATGGATTTATAAAACTTGAATAAAAGTAAAATAGTTTTTTTTTTTTTATAATGAATTACTTAATAGACCAAACTGAAGCATAATGCAATAAACAAAAAGTTCAATAGAATACCGGGATATTGTAAATTTGTAATTAATTTTATTCAGATGAAGATTACAGTCAATGAGAAACCTGTGATTGCTTTTTCTTCGCCAATTCTGGGATACGCGGAGGAGTGCTTGAAAGGGCACAACGCAGGTCATTTTCTACCTCTAATCTACTACGTTGCTTCGTTTTAATTTGCAACAGAGTTGAAAAGCCTGACTCACAAAGATATGTCGACACAAACGGAAGCAATGCACGGATAGCTCTTTCTGCCACTTTTGGGTAGGAATCGCACATCAAGGGCCAAAATTCTGTGATTGATTTCTCATCGAACATATCTCTTGCTCCCGAATCAGTTTTCCCCCCCTGAAAACCTGAATTCCCCCCCTGGGGGTAATTCCCCCCTGGTTGAGAACCCCTGGGTTATGTGATTGGCTGGATTGAATCGTCCGCGAATCTCCACCATGGGCCTTTCATGGCTTCGAGTTCACATAGGTAGTAAGTAGCTACCAAACAGTGAGGTACTACCGCCTGGGAAGATATTGGAAGCATAATGTGTTGTCTGATGGTAGACGCTGCTGCCATATGGCATCACAAAATTTGTGACCAAGTCCCAGGTTGCTGATGTGAATTTCTGCCTCATTTACATACAATTGCAGGGTTTCATTTGCACATAATTGTTACTCTTACTTTGACAACACAACATACATATATTGTTTCTCACTCTTGATCTTTTTTTCTTTTCATTTTTGTCTTTTATTATTATTATTATCATTATTACATTTTCGCCCCCCAGGCCCCGATGTGGGTCAGTGACCTGTGTCGGGGTGGGCTAATACAAAAAAAAAAAAAAAAAAAAAAAAAAAATATATATATATATATATATATATATATATATATATATATATATATATATATATATATATATATATATATATATATATATATATATATATATATATATATATATATATATATATATATATATATATATATATGTATATATATGCAAGTAAATCACTGCAGGTACGCGTGATCCAGGTAAATGCTGATAACTCGTGTTTTTTCCTTGTGGTTATCTCATATATATATATATATATATATATATATATATATATATATATATATATATATATATATATATATATATATATATATATATATATATATATTGTACAGGCATCAGTGTGGGAGGTGGAGGTCGGAGAGAGAGGGAGGGGTAGTTCTGTCATTTTATCGAGTAGGAATTCAAGTATTTGGAATCTCTCTTGTGGTCTTGTCTCATAAACTGTAGTCGATAATTATAATTGGATCTCTGGTTTACCTTGATTCTTATGAACGATATCCGGCTGGTTTAAGTTTCAACATAAGCGGTAGTTGTTTTTAGGTTTTTTAGGTGGCGATAATAAAACCTGTTGTCGGTCTTGTCAACTCAGCGGTCTTATCAGTTGTATTTTGAAGTGTGATAAATTCTACCATAGTTTATTTTACTGTAAGAAGGAAGGGTTCTTAAACACGGAGCCACGTGTGTTTTTATTAAATAAGTTTCTAAGACCAAAATGGTGTAAAGTCTCAACAATGTTAGGAATTTTTACTCAGCCTGCACTCCTTCATCTTCCTTCTTTCATCTTCCTTCTTTCACCCTCCTTCTTTCATCTTCCTTCCTTCATCAAAGGTATTAGGTGAAATTTAAAACATTAGAATATAAAAAGATAATTTATGTAATGTTTTCTGTTTAGATAAATTAGGATCTTCAAATGTTTTGATTGAGTTTAACCCCTTTATTACTAGACGAATCTGTTGATATTTTTTTAAGCAAACACCAGTCGATTTTATTGAGCACAGATTTCCCCCACACTCCCTACCTCCCCGTCCCTTCCCATTCCCCCCCCCCCTGTCCCCCAGCCCCGGTACCCAAGATTAAGATATTTTATTTTTATTTATTCTTTTAGTGATTAAAACAGTGGAAATATCAAAGGTTTTAATGGCATATAATGTTGTGTTGTTGTGCAGCGTTCCTCTGCGCCATCCCTGACCATTGGTGTGAGGTGCCTGGCCTCCAACACGTTAATACTACACTTGACCTCCGCAACATCTCCATACCATGGTTAGTATTACCTGTGTCATAACACCTGTATGCCCACACCTGTATAGCTCCATGCCCATACCTGTACACCTTCATACCCACACCTGTACACCTTCATACCCACACCTGTACACCTTCATGCCCACACCTGTACACCTTCATGTTCACCTAAATTACTGTATTTAGTCTTATAACATTCACATAGAAGTGTCTCTTTTGAAATATAAATGCACTGTATATAAAGTTACTGAACAGCAAGTAGATATTCAACGTAATCTAATATTCAATTTTGTTTTAAATAATTCATCCAAACTACTACATGCAATTACTGTATTACCATTTAAAAAATAAGATGACTGTTAATAACATCCCAAGAATACAGATGCAAAATAGTAATAATAATAATAATAATAATAATAATAATAATAATAATAATCCTCAGGGAAATCAACACAGACGGGAAAGCCAAGTACTCCTCCTGCAGCTATTATAACAGGGACTGGGACGCTCTGGTGGCTAGCGGGGCCCTCAGCGGAGACACTCTACCAGACCTTCCCACCAACGTCTCCACCAACACCTGCCATGACTGGGACTACAATCACACCGTCTACAAAACCACTGTTGTAGAAGAGGTAAAATCAAGGTTCTGTTATATATGTCTATGCAGTTTAGTAAAGACTCAGTGATATTTAATGTATGAGTAATAATTATTTCACCCAACAGTGGGACTTGGTGTGTGACGAGAGATACCTCACGTCAGTCGTACAGTCCACTTACATGGCGGGAGTGTTGGCGGGCGCTGTCATCCTCAGTGAACTTTCAGACAAGTAGGTGAAGGTTTCTCGTTATTTATTTCTCTTATCTCTTTTTTTATGCTATACTCATAATCTTTGATACCACAGATACATTTTTTTGCTAAATTTGGAAGCTCTGTTGTCACTGTAGACGGGTTCCTGACGTGAGTAATTTCTAGTAGCCTTTGACCCCAACTCGTCGTGGCCTCCTGATATAATTCTTTTTTTTCCCACCTTTTGACCTCAACTCGTGGCCTCTCTGTCTCAGGTTCGGGCGTCGCACCATCGCGCTGTTGTCATCAGTGGGGATCTTGGTGTCGTCTGTGTGTGTCACCTTCACAACACACTATGTCGCCTTCATCATCCTCCGCTTCCTCGTCGCGGCCTTTGGTTCCGGCGTCTTCCTACCTAACTTCGTCATCTGTGAGTCCCCCCCTGTGTGTGTGTGTGTGTGTGTGTGGAGTCCTTATATGATATACCAAGATTAAAAGTCCTCCTCCCCCCCCTCCCCCTCACGGACTCTCACCTCTCCCTCACAGTGATGGAGGTGGTAGGGCCGGAAGGACGCACCACCATGGGTATGATGTACCAGGGATTCTTCAGCATAGGTTTTATGGTCCTACCGGCTATCGCTTACTTCGTCAGGGAGTGGCGTTACCTCCAGCTGTATATCTCTGTACCCAGCGTCATCCTCCTCCTGTACTACTGGTAGGTCTCCTGGGTTGTTTATGTGTTACTGTAAACATTGAGGTGGATCTCCCAGGTGTCTGCTGCATAAGATGGTCTTTTTTAATCAATGTTGAATCTGAAAATGTGTTACTTGAAGCATTTCTTGTCTTGACGATTACCAGACGTCCAAGAACATCACCTTGACTAACACTCCACCTGGTAATTTCAATGGGAGATCTATAGGTGACTGGCAATTCACCTAACAGGACGCTTAGGTGAATTTACAGATCTCTCAGGTGAGTATCTTGTCTGGGAATATATGTTATGGTATCAATACAATGGGTGGATAGTGTGTCACCAGTAGAAACAGAAAAGCTGATTATTTTTATCAACAAAACACAGATTTATACCAAGTGTAGCCTAAAGGTTATCGATCTTACACAAATCTTATCAAGTGTACAGATACCCCGCGACAACGTGTGCTTCTTTGTCCAATTTTCTCAGGCTGAAGAGAGATGTCGCCTACGATGGCAATATACGCGGCCGGATAAAAATATATAAATACGCATAGCTTGATGGACAGTTAAATGACGAGGCAGAGGTACAGCTTAAGTGAACGTTGCGGTTAAATTTCAGGTGTTAATAAGCAGTAATTCAGAGGGCATTTATTTCCCCTGTTGAACTTGGTAATGATCTGAAGGTGTGTAAGTTACCGAGGTGAAAGTCTCGTTCTGTCTCCCTCAGGTGGCTGCCGGAGTCTCCTCGTTGGTTGATAATGCAGGGCCGCCACCAGGAGGCCTTCGAGATCCTGAAGGAGGCAGCCAGGGTCAACGGTGGCTCAATGCCTCAGAAGGAAGAGATGGACGTTCTTATGGCTCACGTCAATAAGGAGGTGAGAGAGAGAGAGAGAGAGAGAGAGAGAGAGAGAGAGAGAGAGAGAGAGAGAGAGAGAGAGAGAGAAGATGTGAGAACGCACTTTAAAACCAAGTCACAAATTTAGTAATGAACAATATGAAATTCCATAGAGACTCATTTTCCAAGTACATGTGTTATCTGAATGCCAGTTAAAAGAAATAATTACCACAGTACTTAATGGCCAATCCAAGGACATGTTATCTTAGTGTTATTTGTCTCAAGTAGTCGACACACAATAAAAGGTGATGGACTTCCCTGAAAATCACAAAATCATTACTTAAAAAAAAAATCCCATGAGATTCTAATTTAGTTATTGTTGTTATTTAGCTTACATATATTTTATTCTTCTAATTATTTATTTTCTTATTTATCTATTTCTATCGTTGTAGTTACTAAAATTTATTCCCTTGATAGACATTTTTTAATTAGTTTTCGTGTTTATTTTTTTGATAGGAAGAGAAGAAGAATTTATTCCTTAATATAATGATTATTTTACCTCCTTTAATATAGCTTAATCCCTTTAATATCAAAACATCACACCTTGACTACGATAACTTAACTCTTAGCTCACGATAAGACGATACTTTTTATAACATGCAAAGTTTACTGCCAGGTTTATCACAAATTCTAATCACATTATGAACAACCTGGCATAAACACTAGGAGGAAGACAATGATGTTAGCGGTAAAGAAAAAAAAATACTGCAACTGGAAAATGAACTGGACGAGGTAAGATAAAGAAGAGACGCAATTATTTACCTGCCTGCTGAACACGAGGCTGACATTTTGATCGCTTAAGCTCATTCTTGATAAAATGTCGAGTGTAGGAATATCTAATAAGCCTGAATATGTAACCAATATATAAGGCGATAATTCCTTCTTATTTCCGTGCCAAACATCAGCCACTCCTGCTAAACTTAACTCGCTTTCTTCTGTGCTTCTCTGTATATTGTAACCGATCTGAGTTTGTTGACTTCTGTTCATGTGATTTTATTTATTTTTTGTTTACGCTCTGGCTGTTAATATTAAGGTATACCTGTGTTACAGCCTGTATCTTGCACGTTAATTATCACGCATGGATCTTAAACTTGGAATTTTTTGCATATCGACTACTACTACTACTACTACTACTACTACTACTACTACCACTACTACTAAGAAAGACAAATAGTCATACAAACCACTACTTAATCAATTGTTTTGACATAATAATAGACGGCCGTAATGACCCAAGCGTTAATCAAATATATGTAATTACAATCTAGACAATAAAATAACATATATAAAAAAAAACAAAAAAACAATAGGAGTATGTGCTCGAGCTTATAGATACGTCATACAATAATATCAAATTTAACAATCAAATATCACAAATACCTTAACACAAAACAAGTTAATATTCTCTGATAAAAAAACAACTTGCCACATTCAGGTTTGGTACTCGTAAATCCTGAGTGACATAACTGCCTCAAACACAGTACTTAATATACCTTCTGTCTTACATGCAGAAGACCCAAGCCAAGCTGACGCAGACCAGAGTGTTCAAGAAGGTCACCCAGTTCTTCAAGAGCATTGTAAGTGTTTGACCTAAATTAATATTGTTTCAATTTGATTCAATTTGATTCCATAGTATGCTTACTATTGCAAATTTTCTACTGTCGAATATAAGTAAACACAGTTACCACACTACACAAAACCTGACCAGCCTCTGTAAATGTAATAGTGAAGGTGACTAAACCTTTCTTGGGTAGTGACAAAAATATATACAGTACTGTACCCTGCATATTAATCTAAGAAGGCTTCTGGGGTACAATACATTAACAAAAAATCTCAAATGTACAGTATTTCACAGATATCCAAAGAACAAAATTCTGAAGATAATGATAATTTGTACCTCACAGCAAATTGTTTCATCTATGAAGTCACAGTGTATAAGTCCTACCCTAGCAAAGATTAAAAGCTTACTTACAACAGCATGTACACAACCTGATTTACAACTTTCCAAAATCATGCATACAACTTGTCACTTCACCATAACTTAATAACTTCCACACAACATATTGCTTTGGTTGCTTCACCAGAGAATTGCAACTCCTTCCACACTGATTACCACACAATATAAATACTGTATGTCCTTGACACACAAAATCAGTTCGAATCATGTGGCAAACCTGTGTTGTCAAGGGGAAGGAAGGGGTAGGGGTGGGTGTTAAGGGTGTGTGTGTGTGTCAAGGGTGAATGTCAGGGGTGGTTGTTTGGGGTGGGTGTCAGGGGTGGGTGTTAGGGGTATGTTTTAAGGGTGTGTGTCAGAGGTGTGTGTCAAGGGTGAGTGTCAGGAAGTGAGTGTCAAGGGTGAGTGTCAGGGAGTGAGTGTCAAGGGTGAGTGTCAGGGAGTGAGTGTCAAGGGTGAGTGTCAGGGAGTGAGTGTCAAGGGTGAGTGTCAGGGAGTGAGTGTCAAGGGTGAGTGTCAGGGAGTGAGTGTCAAGGGTGAGTGTCAGGGAGTGAGTGTCAAGGGTGAGTATAATCAGTCCATTGTCCATCACAACTAGTCTCCAACAACAAATAATCACTACTTCACCATTATTATCAGAGCACCATCATCAACTCTAAATTACCACCAGATAACCATTGCTTTATCACCATCGTCACCTCCCTCATCATCATCAGTCACGTCATTATCAGTCACCAGTAAGTACATCATCTATTACCAACAGTCACCACCCCATCACTATCACCACTAACACCATTCACTCACCATCAGATCACGTTACTGAGCACCAAGAACATGCGACGGAGGTGTCTGATCATCTTCTTCGCGTGGTTCGTCGTCAGCATGGTGTACTACGGTCTGGCCTTCAGCGGGGGCAACATAAACGCCTCTATATACCTCATCGTCTTCCTCTCTGGCGTGGTCGAGATCCCATCATATATACTCGTGTGCTGGACGCTGAAGAAGTGAGTTTATGCGCGTCCAACCCACCACCACACACACACACACACACACACACACACACACACACACACACACACACACACACACACACACACACACACACACACACACACACACACACACACACACACACACACAGCATGCATAGTACAAGTAAGCTGGCAAGCACGCACGCATGCACAGACATGCCTTTACATATATGCACAAACACAGAGATACGCTTACATGTAAGTGCTTATGCACAAAAAGGCACACACACACACACACACACACACACACACACACACACAGCATGCATAGTACAAGTAAGCTGGCAAGCACGCACGCATGCACAGACATGCCTTTACATATATGCACAAACACAGAGATACGTTTATATGTATGTGGTTGTGCACACACACACACACACACACACCTATTTAAATACACGTACAAGCATCGACTTAACCGGCTTCACTGATTACCTGTTTTTAGTGTCAATATAATTTATAGTGTTATCTATCGATTTTTAAATTATTTAAATAAAAGCTACCAATATCACTATGTTAAGTTACTATATTGAACACAACTACATGTTAATATCTGAACAAGTTAAGAATTATTATTTTGTATTCAAAACAAGTTTCCATTTTTATATGACAATTCTCTTGAAGGTTTGGTCGGCGACTGAACCTGTGTGTGTTGTTCCTTATCTGTGGGGCAGCTTGTCTCCTCATAATGGCGGTGCCCAAAGGTGAGGTCGAGTGATGTATGTTTGTATATTGTCTCCTTGCTCTTTAAGAAATGTATCTTTACGATTTTGTGTGAGACAGTATGACACAACTGACGAAGGAATTTGACAATCCTACCGGGAGTCGCAGTATTCATTTTGAAACTCATCGGACCCCTCCGTAAAGATACTTTCTGTAGCGTCTGTCAGTATAATCAGGGTGTCTCAAGTGTGGACACTGTTGTTCAAAACACTGGATTTCCAGCATCTTCGTGGTGTAGATTAATATAGTTTTTTCTCTTCTATATTTAATTTCCTTTTACTCTTATTTTTCACCCCAAACTGTACTATCTGAAGCACCGCTACCTCGCCCCTCCCACAGAGCATGTATGGGTGAACCTGTCGCTGGCCACGGTGGGGAAGTTCTTCAATTCTTCAGCCTTCGGCGTGGCGTACATATACTCGGCGGAACTGGTACCTACGGGCGTCAGGAATATTGCCGTGGGCACTTCCTCAATGTGTGCCAGGATAGGCTCGGCCCTCGCGCCCTTTATCGTCGACCTCATGGTGGGTACTGCCTGCTGTTGGGGCCAAATGTTAAGCCCTTCTTACTCTGAAATATTCTTCCTTGAGTTGATTTTCTTTGTAAAATCTCAACCCAAGTTTTCTTCTTCTTTAATTCTCCTTCTTCTTAAATGTGTCTTCTTGATTGGTTTTCATTTATTATCATACTGTTCCTTTTATTCTCTTTCACCCTCATAACTCGCCACCTCTTCCTCCTCCCACAGGGTGAAATGCACTACACGGTCCCCTCGACGGTCTTTGGTCTCCTTTCAATCACCGCCGGTCTCCTCGCTCTCCTCCTGCCTGAGACTGGCAAGACCCGACTGCCTGAGACCGTGGAGGAGGTGGAAGCCATGCCCAGGTAGAGAGGCAGAGGAGAGAACTATACGACCTTGGGACGCTGGAGGGAGTACAGTCTTCCTGTGTGACTCCCTACTCGCAGGATGTAAACAATGCTCTCGTAAGGGGATTTGGACGAAGGCAAAGGAAGACAGGACGTGAGGGAAAAGTTTGGAGGAAAGGATTTAGATGAATAAAGTGTCACATTAGGAAGACAATTACGAAATGAAGAAAGGTTAGAGATGTGAGGAACGAATCCTAGGGGGTATGTGGTGGGATGAGACTTACTAAGGTGCGAGAAGACGGAGGAGACAGGATGTAGTCATAATAAAGTCTCGTGGAAACTTGTAGGTAATGACAAAGGGACCCGGAAAAGACAGGTAATGACATGAGTAGAACTTGATATAACAATAGGGAAAACACACAGCGCGAAGGCACTAGGCACGGCGTGAGGAAAGCACTAGGAACGAGTTTGTAAGTTCGTAAGTTCATCTCTCACAAATAAAGCTCCCCTAAAAGCCAAAAGAAAAAGTCGTATGAAAAACTTCGTCTGGCGTAGCTCACATAATCAGGTGATCATCAGAGGGAATGAGGACTCCAGACGTTGATGGTTCATACTGGCGATGTCTTAACGACACGGGTCTAAAAGTTTTCACCATGTAGATAAGAACACAATGAATTCTTGCTTATAGCCACTGATATTTACCACATATTATAAAGGCGCGGTCACACGTGCCAATTATAATTATCGACGGGAAATCAACGCTGTGGTTAGTCAACGGTTTTCACTGTTCGAAAGTTGTCTATTGAGACCATTTTCCGTCGCCCGTATTGATCTTTGTAATTCTGTAGTATTATTTCGGAAAGTATCCTTCATAAACTATCCCCATTTATGACTGAAATTTATCTTAGCTAGAAACATATTTTCTGTATTACATGTATGGTATACAAGTTAGACGTAGGTAATTATTGTTAAAATACAAATCACGACGAGACCTTATTTGATACGAGACGGTGATGCGGGAGTCTGATCTACAACTCTACAGTCTCCCAGTAAATATGGATTCTTGGCTATGACTGATATCACTAGGCGTAAAAATTCCTGAAATTTGGTCTTACTCATGCGATGACAAATCATAGAATGATTTGGAGTCTTCCAGACCGACTTCTTGTACTAGATTATGGTACTGTACACACTGTTACCGTCTTTTCTTGTGTTAACCTTCTATAACTAAACTGCGCCTGTTATTAGGGCAGAGATAGCTGCTGCGTCTCGTACGAGGATGTCATTGCTTGTTTTGGTTACTGAAACGGTCATCAAGTGTGTAAGATGGCTCTTTTTCTTGTGACCACTGGGTCGACGAAATCGTCATTCACTGCCTGTCGATAAAACTGTTTCAACGACTGTGATCAACGGAACATGCTAGTGTGACCGCGTCCAAGTTATCCACTAAACTATCCCCGAAAGATTGACGTTATGAAGTTATTACTGCGCTTCAACAGTTACTACCCCCAAAGGTTCTCAGTAAATCTGTTTTCCATTCTTGCTGATTTATCTTTTTCGACAGCGCGTAAATTATGTAATATATATCAAAAAACAGCACAAGCCAACGTCCCAAAAACTTGTATGTAAAAAAAGTGTATTCTATATTTCTCCCATCATATTAAATACTTTCTAAGAGATTACCTTATATTATAATTGTTTACGTTTTACTTTTAGCTGTAGCTTAGTTGAGCTGGAGTGAGGCGACACAGGGCAAGTCTGTGTATCCAGCGTGAGTTCGGTTTACAGCCGTCTGCGATGTGATCCAGTGAAATGTAATATTAAAGTGGGTTTTTTTAGGATATCTGAACACGAATGTATTAATCAAATTTATGTAATTCTATATAATAACACAAGGTATTATTATTATTATTATTATTATTATTATTATCATCATCATCATCGTCTTCATTAACATCATTACTATAAGTTTATCGTCTTAATTCATGTGAGAGAAATGTGAACTAGATGCCGGAAAAAAATTAAAAAGAAGTCGTTGCTTGTATACTTCATTACCCTTATAAAACTGAAACAAAAACATGTTAAAACAGGATGAACGACAAAGTGTAATAAGTTAGTAGAACATATATCGGGGTCGGGTCCATGCCGATGCAACCGATTCACTTGCATCGCTCAAAAAATTCTGACCGATAACGTGTTGATCTGCATGGCCCATCAGCTTCCGGCCGTACCTGAGTGGCTTCCAATATCTCGGTTATAGGTAAAATGCGCCAAAAGTGTTATAGGTCAAAAATGTCTTGTTTTGTCTGAACTTATCATTAGGAAAAAAATCGAATGATGTCCTCTACTATAAACTGAGCACAGTAGTGACACACTGTGGGCCAGAACAGAGACACACAGACGTTGTGGAATGATATGTAAAGGTTCCATAGACTTTTCCAGGAATCTACTTAAAAAAAAATTGTCAAATATGAGGTATGGATGCGGCCCTATACTGTCTCTATTAGTGCAAAGGAGACAGAAATACGTATTAAATAAAGTTTTATGTCCTAATAGAGGTGAATCAAGCTCAACAGGATTAAAGACCTACGCATTGTTGATGTACAGTAGATGTAGTGGTGCTGACAAGTCTCGACCGCCGTCCAGCGCACATGCCTCAGGGAGTCAAGTGAGAGTGAGTGTTGTGGCGAGTGTTTCTCCTGGCGAACCACAGCAACCACACCCACTGCTATCACCAACAACTGTCCCATGCGCCGCCTCCAGTGTGGGTAACCGTCCACACACACACACACACTTTCATTCAAACATATACAATAAACATATATACACACAGCTGAATAAGGGTGATTCTCATTGGTCGACACTTCCACACTTTATATCAACATGGACCAATCGTATGAGCTCTCGTCCCTAGTAAATAAAAAACCCAAGTCGTAGAATGAAAGGTTCATTTTATTGATTTTGTTGTATGAATGAACATTTGTGACTTTAATTCATTTCTACGTTATATAATGAATGAATGAGTGAATGAATCGGTTTTTTGTGTGTGTATACTTTATCAAATTATATATATATATATATATATATATATATATATATAAAATTTCTTGAAATGTAAACAAATGAATCAGCTTCTTGATAATAAAATAATCAACGTTTTGCCTTTAATATATATCGTTAATGTGAATATTGTTTTTATAAGACGACTTAAATGAGTAATCTTTCATCAGTATCTAACTCATTCATCAAAACAATCATTATATGGAACTTCCTTAGTTAAAGCTCCAGCCACTCTCTCTCTCTCTGACTTTCTTAAGCACTCTCACCTGAAGAGATTTGTAACCAAGTCATCAGCGTCTCGGCACACACCAGTAATTTACTCCATTCATACCAGCCATCACTTAACCAGGTGAGTGTTACCTCTAATGGCACCATGGCACTAATACCCATGTGGCACTTCCATTATTTCGCTACCATTAAGTGACCAGCTTCGACATTATTACCATATTTTATGCTCTTTTCGTTATACTGTACCATTAAGGCACCATTGTAACTACCATAAACCTCTCTTCCATTAACTCAGAGGGGAGATGGGAAGGAAGAGGTGTGGGAGGGGACGGGAAGAGGGGAAATGGACAAAGGCGAGGAAAGAGGAAGGAAGGGAATGGGCTGAAAGAGGGGTGGGAGCGGAGGGAAAAAGGGAAACAGGAAGGGTAACAATGAAGGGGAAAGGGAGGGGAGGAAAGAAAGAAGGAAATGAGAGTGAAGGAGGAGGAAGAGAGGGAAGGGAGGAGAGAAGGAAGGGAAAAGGGGAGGGGAGGGAAGGATGGTATAAGGCTTCATAATGACCACAGTCTTTATTCTACAACCACACCACAGAGTTTTCCCTTTCCATTTTCTCCTCTACCACACATAAAACTCTCTCCCAGTACACACACACACACACACACACACACACACACACCCTGACTCTCTCCATTCTCCAGGTTATATACCGAGTGAAGGCCAAGACAGGAGGTACAATACTCGGTAGTTACTTCATTTGTCTTACCGTAAACAGATGAATTGTACCGAAAATTCTCCCCCACCACCACCACCATCCCCGCCCCCACTAAATACTTACCGACATCATCTAAGGCCCTCCAGGTACTTACGTTCTTAATCACACGAGTCAAGAAGGTAAATATATACTCCGCGACGCCTGCTTCCCTATTGGGCGCTGCAAAAGGGGTGCCCAATGAACTAGCCCCCTGAAATCTAAATATACGTTTGTTTGTCGTTGCTGGTTAATTTGAGCGATAACTTAAAGCATTTTTTTTAGCTAAGAATTTGAAATAGATATAATACTGACCAATTGTTTTTAGTATTTTTTATTTTTTATTTATTTTTTTAGATTTCTCCGTTTTTTTTTTTACTCAGTTTGTTCACGTTAAGACAGGGGGTGTACTATACGAAACATAAGGACGAATAAACTGATCTTGTTTCTTACTGATGGGAAACAAAAGAGTTGATAGAGTGAGAATAAAATCTGATTATATACCCTATTAACACTGATGGTATATTACATTACCCAATTTAACCTATTCTAGAGAGTAAATGGTGTATCTATAAAGTATAAACTAACCTAACCTAACCTATTCTTGCGAGTAATTGGTGTACCTATAAAGTGTAAACAAACCTAACCTAACTACTGACTGATTCTCTAACGAACACAGATCACGAATACGAGAAGAAATTTAGAATACACTTTACTAGGTCGCGTCTGTTAAATTTGTCGTGAATATAAAAACAAAACAACCTAACCTAACCTATTCTTGCGAGTAATTGGTGTACCTATAAAGTGTAAACAAACCTAACCTAACTACTGACTGATTCTCTAACGAACACAGATCACGAATACGAGAAGAAATTTAGAATACACTTTACTAGGTCGCGTCTGTTAAATTTGTCGTGAATATAAAAACAAAACAATTAATATGCTCTAGAAAATATTACTAGGAGGGAGAGCGACTGTAATGGCAAATGTTATTGAGGACACACACACACACACACACACACACACACACACACACGCGTAAGTAAATTAGCTGAAAATGAGGTGGATTTTTAACTATTTTCTGATTCAAATAAAACACCGTTAATAATTATGTCATTTACTAAAGCACTGACCTGTAGAATGATTTTATATTCCCTTATAAATGTTGAATGTTAATATATTGAATGTTTGTATGTTGACTATTTGGGTATTTTTGATGTTGATGTTCTAATGTATCACTCCGCTTTAACAACTAATGTATGTACTAATAAGAACATAATCTACCATAGTAAAAGAAAAACTAGTCCCCCAAACATTTAAAAACTCACAGAAAAATACATTAAATTTGGACAAACACTCGGATTAGTTTCACCTAAATTAACCTAACCTAATCTAATCTAACCTAACGTATCTTAACTTAACCTAACATTAACCTAACCTAACACACCCTGACGCTAACCTAACCTAACACACCCTGACGCTAACCTAACCTAACCGTTGTCGTAGTTATTATACTCCATACACTATACTTATGAATCACCGTTAAGTCCATTACTCTCCTAAAAACATACAACTGATCCTGAAAAAAGTCCCTCATAACTCGGAAGCAAATTGGTGTCATTATCTTCATATCTCGGAAGATGAATGGATCAGCTGAGTGGGTTATTACGCACCGTTTAGGTTAGGTTAGGTTAGGTTAGGTTAGGTTAATAATGAGATCAAATAAACTAAGGGGAGCGAATCTTCAGGTGATTGAATTCCACTGACATTGTCCCCAAAAATATATATTTTTACTACATATGGAGAAACAGTGACAAACTAAGCAATATATTGATAATGTAAAACTACCCTTCAACACCTACCAATAAGGTCATTAAGCACGTATTCCAGGTTAGTAAATACACTAGTTATGAATAAGAGAGATTTATAGTAGTGAGTAATTTAGTGAGTTAATTTAGTGAGTAATGTGACAGTGTGTGACCTTAGACAATAGCGTGTGACCGAGGTGAGAAGAGATGAGTTTTAATGTATATATGACGGGAAGTAGAGAGCGTGACCCCGAAGCACGCTGTCTCTTATCAAGTCGGATTGTCGCTGAGGGTGACACACATCTGCTCAAACCCATTACGGTATCGAACCCCTGAATCTAACTCCTGTATGTATCTCATCCCTGAATCATCCCCCTAATCGAACCCCTGAAGCTAACTCCTGTACCTAAATCTTGAATCAAAACCCTTAATCGAACCCATAAACCGAACCCTCATTTCCGAACTCTTAATCCGAACCCCCCCATATCTGAACCCTTGAACCGAACCCTTAATCCGAACCCCATATCTGAACCCCTTGAACCAAACCCCCATATCTGAACCCTTGAACTGAACTCTAATCAGAACCTCCCCATATCTGAACCCTTGAACCGAACCCCCCATATCTGAACCCTTGAATCGAACCCTTAATCCGAACCCCCGATATCTGAACCCTATTCCCAAACCCACCACTCGAAATATTCCTGCCAGGTAAGTAAATATCTGAAGGAATAGTGTACGTGATGAGTGAGGTTGGAGTTGTTATCATAATAGGCACTGGAGTGGGATAGGGTGGGCGTGCTGGGCGTGCTGGGCGTGCTGGGGTAACACCTTGGTAATGATAACACAGTCAGAGGGGGCCGTGACGACACAATTATGACGAGAGAGAGAGAGAGATAGAGAGAGAGAGAGAGAGAGAGAGAGAGAGAGAGAGAGAGAGAGAGAGAGAGAGATAGACTAAGCACATCGCACGAGGGAGGTCGATGCCAGGAACAGATATGACTCAGAATAGGTAACAAGGTAGGTCAACAAGGTCAGGTTAGGTCATATGGTGGATTACTAAGAACAGAAGAGGTCAGCGAAGTTGGAATTGTTTAAAAAAAATCGCAATCTGAATCTGTTGTGTCAGAGAGAAGTCACATACGCCACCATACAGGGTCTTGGCAGCAGTGACCATTGCATACGAGAGTACAGAGTCGCCAAGCACAGTCAGGTAGCTTATATGCTCAACATATCGTACTGCTCACTAAATCATTTTGCATCACGTGAAGATAAGACACCCACAGCTTATTTCACCTGATGAGTAAATACCTTAATACCACACTGGAGGGGTTAGGTTAGCTTAGCGTTAGGGTGGTTAATCTTCAGGTGAAATAAGCTTGTGTTTCTAATCTTCAAGTGAGCAGATAATCCCAGCTTGACTTTTCAGAACACAAGGCGTTTGGTTGGTTAGAGAGCAGGAAAAAAATAGTAAATAAGGAAAACTATAAAGAGTAGCAAGAGAGAGAGGAGGAAGAGAGGGAAGAGAAGAGTAGTAAGAGGAATAGGAATAAAATGAGGAAGAGGAAGAGAAAAAGGAATAGAAAGTGGAAGAGGAGTAGTAGGAGGTAAAATAGCTCTAAGAAAGGGAGTAAAAAGAGTAGTAAGAGTAAGTATAAGAGGAGGAGGAGGAGGAAGAGTAGTAAGAGGAGGAGGAGGAGGAGGAAGAGTAGTAAGAGGAGGAGGAGGAGGAGGGTCTCAAAATACATAAGGCACTATTAACCACTTCGTCTGCTGGCCAATTATTCAGTGTAATTTATTTGGTTGGTACAGTGTCAGTCCTGGCCACCACCACCACCAACACCACCACCACCACCACCACACGTGTACACTGCTCGCGTCAACCTTCTGTTACACCGTGTGTCTGATATGCACCATAATCACACACGATCTAAATATGTTGTCTTCAATATAAGAATAACCAGTCGCATCCTGTTTACAACCACACACAACAACACAATGATTAGTCACCTTCTGTTTGCTACCACACAGAACAGCACAGCAGCTAATCACCTTCTGTTTGCTACCACACAGAACAGCACAGCAGCCAATCACCTTTTGTTTGCTACCACACAGAACAGCACAGCAGCCAATCACCTTTTGTTTACTATCATACACAACAATCAGTCATATTTTTACTACGGCCAACTATAAAAACCAATCTTCTTTCTACATCAGATACAACACAACCACCAATCACTATCGTCCCACGGTCATGACGTCACTGTCTACCCTACAACTTGCACGCGTAAAAGTCGTCGACGAGTCGTGAGAATTCAGTGCTCACAAAGACATCATCGGAGTGGGACGTACCCCTCTCTCCCTCTTTCTCCCTCACTCGCTCGCTCAGTTCTAGACGATATTTGATTGGACCCATTTGACTTTGAATTTTCTCCCACTAGTGTTTACTTATGGGTTACGTAATAGATATTTTTTAGCTTTTAATATACTGTATCCGGATTGTATTCTTATCGTGATGGAGACGTTTTTGTTCTCTGACTAGTGAAAATATCATGACTGGAAGGTGGATTGTGAGGGGACTGACTTGGCCACAGACTGAAAGACCACAGCTGACAGACTCATCTACCACGACACAACCCGGACTTGACAGGCGTAAGTTGATTGTTACTATTACTTAATATTGTTCATTTAACAGATCCCCTAATACGGTGGAGAGTGGCCGGACAGGTACTGCTGATCCTCTAGTGGGTTACTCCACCACCTTAACAAGATGCTGGTCCACCCAAGGCTTGTTCCACCATCACTGAGTGTACAAAGGCTAGTGTAAGAGGAACATGGGCTCCTACCATTCAAAGTGGGGCCCTACCATTCAAAGTAGTCCCCTACCATTCAAAGTGGGGTCCTACCATTCAAAATGGGGTCCTACCATTCAAAGTGGGGTCCTACCATTCAAAATGGGGTCCTACCATTCAAAGTGGCGCTTCTACCAATCAACGTGGGCCCCTAACAGTTAACGTGGGCCCCTAACAGTCAGCGTGGGCCCCTAATAGTCAACGTGGGCCTCTACCAAGCAGTTTTCTCCGTGTCTCACTCGTGCGTGACTGGGACGGGAGTAGGAGCAAGGCCGCTCAAAGGGAACCAAAGCCGCAGACTACTGTTACCGGGCCTGGGGGTGACCTGCTGTGGTGGCGGAGGGCAGCGAGTGTTTATCGAGAGGTGGGAGGGAGTCAGTGTGTGTGTGTGGTAGTGAGAGGGAGTCAGAATGTGTGTGTGTAGTAGTGAGAGGGAGTCAGAATGTGTGTGTGTGTGTGTGGTGGGGGTCAGAATGTGTGTGTGTGGTGAGAGGGGTCCAAGAATGTGTGTGTGTGGTGAGAGGGGTTAGAATGTGGTGTGTAGTAGTGAGGAGAGTCAGAATGTGTGTGTGTATAGTGGTGAGAGTCAGGAGAATGTGTGTGTGTGTGGTGAGAGGGAGTTGGTGTGTGTGTGTGAAAGTAGTGAGAGAAGTCAGTGTGTGTGTGGTAGTGGGGAGTCAGAATGTGTGTGTGAAGTGGTGGGGAGTCAGAATGTGTGTGTGTGGAGGGAGTCAGAATGTGTGTGTAGTGGTGAGAGGGGTGGAATGTGGTGTGTGAGAAAGTGGTGAGAGGTCAGGGTGTGTGTGTGTGGAAGTGGTGAGAGGGGGTCAGATGTGTGTGTGTGGTGGAGAGTCAGAGATGGTGTGTGTGTGTGGGGAGAGGAGTCAGAATGTGTGTGTGTAGTGGTGAGAGAGGGAGTCAGAATGCGTGTGTAGTAGTGAGAGGGAGTCAGAATGTGTGTGTAGTGGTGGGGGAGGGTGCAGATGTGTGTGTAGTGGTGAGAGGGAGTCAGATGTGTGTGTAGTAGTGAGAGGGAGTCAGAATGTGTGTGTAGTAGTGAGAGGGAGTCAGAATGTGTGTGTAGTAGTGAGAGGGAGTCAGAATGTGTGTGTAGTAGTGAGAGGGATGCTGAGTGAGGGAGGGGGGAAATCAGTGTACTCGTTTTGTTGATCTAACCGCCCAGTAAGTATACACTTTTACCTATACAGTAATTCCATTCTTTCAATATTCTGTATCTAATGACCGTATTATATTTTTTTTATCCAATCATACCGTGTTCTATTAACCCAATATCCCGATTGAAAGTGAAACCGTTTTGTAAAGAAAGTTGAACAATAATGAGGATATATTTTTTTTTTCCAACAATTCTCTCCAATCTCGTCAATACAAGAACAAAACGCAACTTAGTCCCACATCTTTCACATTATCCCCAAGTTATCAAAAATATTAAGAGATGTTGTACCTTTTTTTTTAAGCTCTTATATGTATTAAACTTTCATGAATCACCAACAGGAGGAAAAAGTAAGCCAGAGTTAGTTTCCCCTGGAGTGAAAACCGTGTATAGAGCGTGATTGCTTCTGCCCTCCCTCCCTGCCTCCGCGCGCCGTCAGCCGTCTGTACAGTTGGCTGGTTGGTTCACATCTGTCGCCTCGTTTGGCTTGATGTGTAGGAACCGGATTCGATAAGATTCCTATATTCTATTGAGTTGTTCACTACTAAGCTGTTGATGTATGAACATAACTAAATGGTTTCTACTTCGCTAAAAAAAAAAACTTTCTATGGAATGTAAGAACGCACGTAACTTTTTTCTAAATAAGCAAAAATAAAAGTAAAAATTTTTTTCACGCTAGATGATGATGTATGAACTGGTTTCTACTTAACAAAAACAATAACATTCCCTCTTTAACTAGGGATTAAGAAGGCTTTTAACTGGTTTCTACTTAAAACAGATTATTGCCCTCACTTGTTGATGTGCGAGGTCTTCCTACAAGTGAGAAGGAGGACAATGTTGCTGACATATTAGAAACATTCATTAGATCTCCATTAAAACCTGTAAGGCAAGTGTGTATACTTTTTTTTGAGACACCCTGTGTATATACGGGATAGACCTATGTGATCGTCCGCTTAATATTGTATCACACACAATAGGCCTAAGATTACAACCAGAAAGGGGAAACATTTTTTTTTTACAAGAGAAAAGTGAAAACAAGACGTGAGACCATGGTGACGTGACTAGCCAGCGAATACCTCACTCACTCACTCACTCATCGTTGGAACTCAGACTCAAGACCAAAAGTCTGTCACCCAGAGATTCAAACTTTTAAAAACCCATACAAAATTTATTACCGAAAGCTTAAAATTTATAAAAAAAAACAAAACACGAACGTCCTTCACATACCTAAGAAAAGCGGGAATATGACCGGACAAACACACAAACACACAAAAAACGAGCAATGACCAGCGCCACCGAGCAAATTTTCCTTCACAATGACTCAGATGACTGAAAGCCCAGCAATTCCTGACTATTTTTTTTGCGTCTGATCTCGTAAAAATCAATTCAGGTTTATGTTTAAAAGAAAGTTACTTATGGTTTAACATTTTCGTCTTAACAAATGCATAATATTTAAGTAAATAAATTATATAGTTCAATAAATGTGAATTGAGTAAATAAATAGATGAATAATAAATAAATAAACAAATAGACGGATAAATTAGGGAATATATTAATAAAGAAATCAAAATATACAATAAACATTTATCACCATCTTAAATATTAACAATAATTAAATATATGCGAAGCTAACATATTACTTTGGCACACACACACACACTAAAGCTATTATCATTATTATTATTATTATTATTATTATTATTTTCTGGATTCCATTTCCTTTATCTATTTATACTTACTTACTTCAAGGTGTTGGGGTGATACCTTACTTGTCATGTCAACAGTCGGGAATAGAACCTGTATTTAAAGTATCAATATAATAATGATATATTATCACGCAGATGTGAACTGGAAATGTGGAACAGCTACTGGTAACAGGCACAAGCGTTCCTTCAGTCCTATGTCAGGGTTATAATACCAGTTATTTGTATATCCGGTTCCACTATAACGTATCGTGTCACCATTGTGTTTGTGCCATATTGTGCCATTAGAATACGGCTTGTATAATCTCCAGCACCATAGTCTGCCATCGTGTGATAGACCAGAACAGTGAGCTACCATAGTGTATAGACCCTATCGACACATGTGCCATATTGTAGCGCCATAATATAGCCTACCTAAACAGAGAGAGAGAGAGAGAGAGAGAGAGTAGGCTAGGTTGGATAAGGTTCGTATAGGTGTACGTATATTTGTAAGTGTGTCTGTTATTGTGTATGCGTGTGTAACCTAACGTGTGTATATTCGACTCTGTGTACGTGCGTGTCCTGTACATCCACAACACGCGTTTTTTTGTCATCCCGTGTTGTATGTTCCTCCCGTTACGCCTGGTGGGGGAGGAAGCTTCTCTCCCCGCTATACCACCACACAGGGGCGTCGCCTCTGTGTGTGGTGTAACAGCCGCGACTTGGCCCCTGGCACGAGCTGGAGTGTGGAGGGTTAACGTGGGAGGAGGTAGGAAGAGAAAGAAGGAGGAAGGAAGGGTTAAGATGAGGCATGCGGAGGAGGAAGAAGACACGAGGAAGCATGAGGAGGAAGAATAATGGGAAGGAATGAGGCATGGGGAGGAGGAAGGCAGATGGAGGAGAGGTAGTAGTAGTAGGAGGAGGACAAGGAAGAGGAGAAGGAAGAGAAGTTGTCAACAGTTCACACATCATCAGCCAGCCACACTTTATGCACGTACGAGCACTGGGTCTCAGGTTCACTGCTAAGGCGAGTCACCGTGTCCTGTAGGTCGACTTAATTAACTGCCTACCTGTGACACCACACTCAGCACGCCGCCCACCCCTTTCCATCCAGTGAAATGTTTATTCAGGTACCCAACAACCACCTGACTGGCGTCGTTCATTCACTCCTGCAACTGCTGATTCTCATAACCGTGGCGCGCGAGTAGGGCAGTCAGTGCATATAACTAACCTCAGGTATATAGATAAGTATGTCCGCAGCATAGATAAAAAACGGAGAGAGAGAGAGACCGTGTTTATACCTGACATATATACACACATGACCATACCTATAGGCTACAGCTGGTATATCTCTACGGTCAATAGGTCAGAGGTCAAGGTATCTATGTATATACGTATATATCCGCGTAATAAATCGTGAATGGGATATATACAACGCATATTATATATACTCCTTAGGTATATATATATATTCACCTTCATTCAGTCTCACTGCAACTGCTGATTCTCATAACCGTGGCGCGCGAGTAGGGCAGTCAGTGCATATAACTAACCTCAGGTATATAGATAAGTATGTCCGCAGCATAGATAAAAAACGGAGAGAGAGAGAGACCGTGTTTATACCTGACATATATACACACATGACCATACCTATAGGCTACAGCTGGTATATCTCTACGGTCAATAGGTCAGAGGTCAAGGTATCTATGTATATACGTATATATCCGCGTAATAAATCGTGAATGGGATATATACAACGCATATTATATATACTCCTTAGGTATATATATATATTCACCAAAACAGTCTAGTCAGTTATATTCACTGGGTCAAAGTTGAAGGTCACTGTTTTGGTATGATAGTAACGTCCATGAACTGGTATACCTCCCTCAAGTGCAGTTTGTTTGCACACACACACACACACACACACACACACACACACACACACACACACACGTATAAGTACCAGTGTTATGAAGCAAGTAAATAAGTGGGTCTCGCTTCTCCAGTCACCGTAATCGCGCCAATTGACCGTCATTTGTGTAAGAGCTCACAGAGTAGCCCGCCTTCAGGAATGACTAACTAAAGTGTCTCAAGTTTACTACATATATGACGTAAATTTCCTGTTCCTGTTGCTTTTCAAGTGAATTTGTTTCAGAGGTGAAGGTTAGACACACCTTAGCTTATTTCACCTGATGATTAAACACCCTTATAGTATCTGGGGGTTAGGTTAGGTTAGGTTAGGTTAGTGTCAGGTTAGATTAGGTTAGGTTAGCAAAGGATAGGTTAGAGTGTGTTAGCTTTAGGTTAAACTATAGGTTAGGTTAGGTTAGGTTAAATTAGGTTAGATTAGGTTAAAGCCGGTAATCTTAAACCGGGAGGTTAATCCTCGAGAACCTTCATTTTTCATAACATCATGAGGCCTACAACTTTACAGCGATCTTATCGGTCCTCTACCGATTAACAATATCAGTCATAAAAACACGGTGCTGGAATATATACCCCTCTCTCCTTCCCTTCTATCCTCTTCCCCCCTCCTCTCTCTCCTTCCCTCCCGTCCTCCTTCTCTCCCTCCTTCCCTCTCTCATTACCCCCCAAAAAATTGCTTTCATGTCCAGAGGGCCAAAATTATTACACTCGTTCTAACATTCACTTTCAGGTTTGTTTTTATATCATATTTTTGTATTATTTCTTTCTTTTTTTTTGCGTCTATAACTCTTGACTTGCAATTGTTTACTTGTTTTTGTTGCATTTGTTGTTTTCTCTCAATTTTCACTTCGCTGAGATGTTACTTTCTTTCCGGGTGTTGTTTTTGTATGGAGAGAGAGAATGAAAAAAGAGTTAGAAAAGAAAGAAAGACAGATAAAATAATGAAAAATAGACAGGCAGACTGGCAGAGACACAGACAGAAACAGAGTGAGACAGACAGACAGAGAGAGACAGCGGAAGTGCTAGGACGGCCCAGATGTGAGCAGGTCAGTAGCCTCAGGTATGGAGAGGGTGAGGTGTTATTGTGTACCTGGCGCCCACCTGTTGATAGTGGTGATGACTGTTGTTGATGGTGATGACTGTTGGTGGTGGTGGTGATGACTGTTGGTGATGGTGATAACTGTTGTTGATGGTGATGACTGTTGGTCGTGGTGATGACTGTTGGTGATGGTGATGATTGCTGATGATGGTGATGACTGTTGGTGATGGTGATGACTGTTGGTGATGGTGATGACAAACAGCCATTCATCATATAGGTTAGACACTACACACACACACACACACAATACAACTCCAAAACCTAACCTAACCTAACCTAACCTAACCTAATTTACGGATGAAAGTTGTAATATGCTGTGGTTATAATGCATTACTACGCTTCTACAATTTATTTAAAGGTTATTATACACATTAGTCATTAACGATAAGAGATAAACAGAAATGCCTCTATTCTTCTTTATGTTGATGTTATAAAGTTCTTAAACGCCTCATAAACTAACATGAAAGAGTTAAAGACCTACTAATCTCCCTGTGTTCTGTGGCTACGTGTAATAAATGGACCCTTCCTCCCTCCTTCACATACCTCCCCCTACCGCCCTGTTTTTCCTCTACCTCCTCCTTCCCTCCCGCCTTCTTTTCCTACCTCCCTCCCTCCTGACTAGACGACCTATAAATGGACACCATGACCTCCTGACCTCCTCCTGATGGTGACCTCACACCACGCTTACTTCCTGTATAAAACTCTCGCTAACTTTACCTGTGCTTGGTGAAACGAAAGAGAGAGAGAGAGAGAGAGAGAGAGAGAGAGAGAGAGAGAGAGAGAGAGAGAGAGAGAGAGAGAGAGAGAGAGAGAGAGAGAGAGAGAGAGAGAGAGAGAGAGAACAACCACTTCCGAAGATACAAAAACAGGAGGACACAAGCGCATGGAAGAGGAACAATGCAGAATGAATAAAATGCTAAATGAAAAAAGTAATAATAGAAACTAAAACAAAGAAACAGTGAAAGTTTAAAGAGAGAGAGGGAGAGAGAGAGATTAGAAAGCGAAGGAATAAACAAAAGAGAAAATGGAGAAAAACTGATAACAAAGAAGAGATAATGAATTAGAAAATGTTATTACTTTTATTATTAGGTTAGGTTAGGTTAGGTCAGGCCAGCATCGGTTAGGTTAGGTGAGCACCTGATGTCTCTTTTATTTATTATTATCATTTGGGTACAGTAACTAAAGGTGGGTGGAGGTGACTCGAAACGATGGATGTGATCGTACTAGATATGCAACAGCCTGAGGCACGATGATTTGCGACAGCGTTCGGTACATGACTAACTTCACGGTGGCGTACGGGAGCGGCTTGAATTACACTGTGATTAGAGAAAAGAAATAGTGGAGAGAGAGAGAGAGAGAGAGAGAGAGAGAGAGAGAGAGAGAGAGAGAGAGAGAGAGAGAGATATTCCAATAATTAACTGATATACTTGGTAGATAGCCTGAAGGTTCGCCCCTCAGCTTATTTCACCTGAAGAGTGACCACCCTAACGGCAACCTAATCTAACCTAACCTAACCTATCTTAACCTAACGCCCATAGGTAGCGTTTGGGTGGTTAATCTTCAGGTGACCTAAATTGGGGTTTGGGTGGGGCTAACCCTTCCGATAAAATAAACACCTTTTGACTTCAGACACTTTAATCCACCAAAAATCGATACGCGACTGAGTACTTGAGGTAAACAGACCGACCATTCACGATGACAGGACCCAACGTGTGTGTGCCAAGCTAACAGGTGACAGCAGCGTATGTTTACTGAGTGACTGTGTGTGTGTTGACCAGCATAACACTCCCACCCCGCCTGTGTCAATACCCTCCACGCGGGTAAATACACTTATCTAGGATATAACTTGGGAGTCTTCTGGACGAGAGTTAATTGATACTACAAAGTGAGTGTGGTTAATGACGCTAAGTAGTCCTTACAGTACAGTACATAACATTCCTACGTAACATATTGATCTGCCCAGAGCTTCTCCAGTAGTCTCTTGAAGGTTTGGGGGGGGTGGGAGGGTCTGTTCGCTATGTATGGGGGTTGGCCTTACTGATCGCCCCCACCCCACCACTACACCACCCCACCCCACCCAACCCCACCCCAAAGGTAAAACCCCTCATTAGAAGAAACATCTATCTTTCTGTGTCTTTGGTAAGCACAATCACGGTTTATAAGACGGAGAGTTGAAATTTTATATAGTTATGTACAGTAGATATTCCCGAGGGCGCTCACGAACGTCTAAATTGAGGAAGAGGGAGGGGGAAGGAGGGAGAGTAAAAGTGGAATTTTTACGAGGTGTTTTGATGACGCCATTGAGGTTAACTTTACTCATAAAAAACACGGCAATGGCTTACTTGTCATCTAACTAAATGTAAAGTAGTATTTTTTCGAATCTGGTTCCATAAACTGTAAGTATACTGTACTGTAATCACGTAACAAATATTCTATAAACAAATTCCCAAAGGCGTTAACTTAGTGATGCTCATTTGTCAAGTTTCATCATATCAATGAAGATTTTTGTTTTTTTATACTGTACAAAACGCAGAAATAAAATAAAACTATTACTCACTTCTCAGTTAATTGGCCTCCACAGATAAGAAACTGAGAACAAGACAATGAAAACCGTAAACCAGGCACTAATGACCGTAAAAAAAACTGCTGCACTAAGTAGCAACTATACTCATAATATCCTTACAGTTAGTCTTACAGTACCTTAGTTCGAGAGAGCTAGGGGGGGACTTCACCACACCTACAGTAGGCATAACTCTTCATTTATCTCACCTGCTGAAACTTTCTCTTGCAAATATGGGAGTAGTTTATCAAAGCTTCGTGTGTTCATTTGCATATTAATTCTAGCTGTGACAGGAGAATGCGTCTAGTTACGGTAAAGTTTCACTCAAGTCTGTATGCCATTTTGGATGTTAGTTTTTGTGTTTAGGTGAGTTGGTTGGAAGTATTTTTAAGCGTTAAATCATGGGAGAAATTTTAGGGTACAAATCTTTAAGTATCCGGGTCTTTCTTCCTTTCAACTTGGCGACACTAAATCCCCCTTCAGTCAGCTGTCATCATCAAATAGTGAACAGAGGGGGACTTAGTACACCGCCCTGTGGGGAGTGAGAACCAACACGGCATAAAGCTCCGCCATCTGGGACTCTTAATCTGACATATCGACTCAGCGTGCCCCGTAAATCAGTCTGATTATAAGATGATCTGTCTGTCAGTTTCTCTTTTTTATTCTTAGTTCCTTCATCTTTCTCTTTCTCTTCCCTCCGTTGCGTCGTCGTAAGAGATCAGGTACACTCAGTAATTAAGGCCTTTGTGTCTCTCCTGCGTCTCTCCTGTGCCAAATACCATCCATAAGGAATTCAGGTCTAGTTCATCATCCACTGGGTTTTTTTTCAGTATCTTAATTCTCGTTTTTCTTCCTCTTCCTCTAAATCTCTTTTCTATCTACTGCAATATTTATTTCCCTCCCTTCTCTTCACCTTCTGTCTCCCCTTCTCCATCGCTTCCCTTTCATTGCTAAACGTGGGTATTTTTACAAGTGTTCTTTTGTGTGTCAATGCGCGACAATCCTCAAGCGTCATGCCAAATAATTGCTCTGCTACTTCCCACGGCCAGGACTGGGGGCGTGCTGATGTGCTGTGTATGTAGAAGTGGGGGGGGGGGGGTGAAAGTTGGGGGTAATGATGCAACTCAGGGTAAAGTGTGTGTAGTGTGTATAGCTGTGAGATGGTGCTGGTGGTACTGTATGTGTGTTGGGTGGAAGAGTAGATATTCGCCATCTATCTAAAATAAACTGCAAGTCTAGGCATCCCTTTCTAATACCTGTACTCTCAATGTATAAATCAGTACCTTTATCGGCCTTTTAGAATGGTAAATAAACTTTCTGGATAGTGTAACTGAGTATTGGCTATATGCTGTATACGGTTAGGTTAGGTTAGGCTACGCTGTATACGGTTTAGGTTAGGTTAGGCTACGCTGTATGCGGTTAGGTTAGGCTACGCTGTATACGGTTAGGTTAGGTTACGCTGTATACGGTTTAGGTTAGGTTAGGCTACGATGTATACGGTTAGGCTACGCTGTATACGGTTTAGGTTAGGTTAGGCTACGCTGTATACGGTTTAGGTTAGGTTAGGCTACGCTATATGCGGTTAGGTTATGTACGGTTAGGTTAGGCTAAGTTAGGGCTATAGCTATAGGGAGATTAATTAAGGGACAAATGTACAGAAGACGTGTTGATTTGAGTGCAGTTGCAGTCTGAAGCATCAATGTAAATAGTGTAGATGTAGAGAATGGGTTAATTTTAGACAGACAGACAAACAGACAGACAGACGTAAAGACTGTAGTTAACAGATGAAGATGTAAGACAAAATAGACTAGAATAATGTTCGCGTGTATGTGAGGTGTAGCTGTTTGTAAGATCTCGTCAAGACATATTTTAGTCAATTTTTGCTTTGTTTTACTCTACGTGATATTAAAATTTTCATTAGCTTAAACAAAAAGGGTTGAAGATACTAATTTACATGATGTTTACGCCATAAATATAAATCATAAACACTATGTAAAAATGACGCTCACAAGATATCTATACAAATACTAGTTAATATTAAAAATTAAAATCGTGTTGTGGCTCCCCATAGCGAAGGGATTAATATAGATAGTCTACTTAAGTGTGGGATATTTACTAAGACTATGACGCATCTCTTACGCAATTTACTCTTCGTTTTTGGCGTATTTGTTATCTTGTGCTACGTCACCAATTCCTGCTCCTATTAAACAACAGTCACAGCGGAAGTAATTAGTATCCCATTGATCTCCTTTCACGTCTATTGTCTCACCAAACAAAAGAAAATCGCTCTTATATTAGTGTTTCTATAAGGTGTCAGTTGAATAATAATGCCCTAACAGAAAGAGAGTAATGAAGTTCAATATAAAACCTGAACATAATATACATGTGAGTGTATGTGTGTGTGTGTGTATGTGTGTGTGTGTGTGTGTGTGTGTGTGTGTGTGTATGTGTGTGTATGTGTCAGCCAGCACTACCCGTTACCCTCCCTTGTTCACTTATAAAACACCTCCATTTACGTCTCACCGTTATCTTAAACGAGCTGTCTCATATTTAATACATATTTCTTGTTTATCCTCTAAACACCTGTTATTGTCTGAAATATTATCCAATTATTTTTTTTCATGTATGTTAAAAGTGTTTACGTGTGGTAATAGGACAGTTACTCGAAGCAGCACATTAACACTGCATGATTACTAACTTCCTATTGCTCCTTTGTTTGAATATAATAATAGGGAAAATAGTGAACTTTTATTGTCGAAACCCCGTATCATTTATTATAAGTGTGCTGGAAGTACTCATAAAACGAGTCTTCATTATTATGGTTCATATACACATTATTGCATCATTTAATTTTAGATTTATTTCCAAATATTATATTTATATTCATATAGGCCACACAGACCATTCCAAATGTATTACTTTGTAAATTATGTTATGTTTAGCATATATTTCACAATTCAGACACTTAAAGTTAAGGAACAATGTTTGATGATGTTCGTCTTCCACAGGTACCTGTGATGCGACGAGCAACATTTGAGAGCAGGAGAAGACAGTAAGGTTGGAGAGAGACTGGGAGAGCTGCTCCTACAGACAACTAGCTGTTTAAAGCTCCACAATCATGCGATGTGTTTCGCTCTTATCTCGCACTAACTGCAGTTAAATAATACACGGTTTTATTGTCGAAAATGAGTCCGTCGACGAAGACTAGTTGGTAATTCAATATATATACGTAATGTGACGACAGTAATGTCTTCAGTGTTGCAGTTTGTACAGACAACGACTACACCTTCACTCCTGTTACTGATACACATTATGGATGCAAATGTTTTATATTCTAAGCAGTTTTTTTGAACATAAATTACGAATTATCATCTATACAATGAAGTGAGAAATAAATACATAACTTAATGGAAGTGAAATATCGAGTGTTGAAAAAAGGTATTTCTATAAATGAAGCCAAGAGGAGAGTTGACATCACCACCATGAAGTCTGCAGTAGCTGTGCTGGCAGCTGTTGTACTGACATGTGGATTATTACAGCCTGTACAGGTGAGTAGTCGTTTATAAACCGGGTGTTGCGTGTTCATCCCAGGTGAGTCGGAGTAGAGTCCTGTTTAAGGAGATGAATCAGGAGTTGGGGATAAAGAGATCACCGTTTAACCTCGAGTTTCTAATATATGATGGAAATGTAAAATTCTTGCGAAACTTCTTTGACTGCGTTTCAAATGGAAAGTTTGGGGAAATTTCTTCAGCCAAGTGAAATATTGCAGAAATCACCGTACAGACTTCAAGCATAGGAATGCAATTCAAAATTTTTTGAGACAAAGCAGACATTATATTTAAATGTCTTAATTATGATATATCCAGTTATATTTGAATGCTTCTTGTACGTGAAAGATATTATGGCTGAGTAGTATACAGCACTTGCCTCCTGCTGTGAAGATTACCTAATCCTGTAAACTTAATGGTTCGTCTGAGGCAGTCCCCATTCACAGCTGTTGATAACTTGGGCTCGGATCAGTGACTCTTGATACCCAAGGCGAGTTCTGTATCCACTCAGTCGTTAACGAAAGCAAGACCCATAAAATCGCTTCCCACGTTAATCATCTGCATCGTTGTTAATACATTTATATTCTTATATTTACAGGGTGGAGTGTTTTGGAACAATCTATTTGGTGGAGCGGGTGGAGAGAGAGCTCAGCGGTGTGCCTGCTGTGAGTACGTCTGAGGACCACACCACCTAATACTCACGTTCATTGCTTCTCTTTTCCATTTTATTTGTTTTTTTTTCTTCGGATATCCTTACTCTCAATACTCCTTCCGTTTATCAATAGTGATATATTCTGCATTTAATTTGCATCTAGCAACAAGTTTTAATCTTTTCAACATAAATTTCTTTAGTGTTAAAGTGTTTATTTTATTTTTTTAATTATTAAAGAATAAACATATATTTTTTACTTAAATCAACATTATCACACTTTGAATAATGTAAGTAGAATAATACTTCCACAGATTACCGCAATTTGCAATAAAATTCATTAAGTATATGGCTCATCTATATATACACTGTATATCCCACCTGTTGTACTGTAGTTATCCAATAAGTGGCCTTAATGATAATACAGGTATGATATTATGTTATATTATGTACATTTGCTACACTGGAGGCTCCTTTCTAGTACACTCAGGTGATTTTTTTAATAACTGGATAAGATTTGAGTGACAGACGGGAAATACAGTTTGGTACATGTACAGTACTTCGCACTACACTTATCACTGAGTCTACGAATGCTATTTGCTCAAGGTGGATATCCATTTCTGTTCATTACTTAAAAAATGAATGACACGATATTTCATGAAATCAGTTTATACCCCTGTAATAAGATTTTCCATGAACTGCTATGGTAGTTATGAACAAATACATATACCGTCTCTAAAATGGACAATGTATACCTGAAGGACTATGTATACCTGCTGTGCGAACAATGTATATCTGCTGGGCGTAAGTAGTGACATTATCAGCTAGTGAGTTGACTTACAAATCAGTCTGTGGTAACGAGACTATAGGACTGAACAAATCGCCAGGAGTAACAACAAAATGGACAAGATCAGCAAAACTCACCTACTTCCACTTTCCTTGACATCGTCGTGAGCAGCTCAGGGAAACAATGGTAAGACAGACATACTAAGAAAGTCCAGTTTTGCTTTGTAAATATAGCATAAAAGCTAACTGTACATATATGAACTCCGTGTGTGTGTGTGTGTGTGTGTTTAAAGCGCCGGTAGTGATGGTGTATTTACGGCAATAATTGTATGAAGCAAGCAAAGATTTTCCTCAATTTCTATGCATGTATGAACAGAAACATAAATTAGTTAAACCTTACGTAACAGTACTAAAATGAGTCAGTTATCTTTGTCTGGTGTAACCCTACTTCCTGCATTTCAAATATTTTTCGAGGTTTGTTTACTTTATGCCAGTTTGTTGAATACCACATGAAATGTCTTCACCTGCGCATGCACACACAGGTACCGAGGATCATTTTGCAAGGCATGGCCAAAGCATCACCCATCCAAGCCTTGCTGGATTAAAAATAATCTTTGTTTATTATCGAGAGAATGTGTATCGCTATTATTCGTCTTGTTATCTCATCATGATGACAGGTAGTGGCTCTTTGATTCATTAACTTCACCATTTAAACTGTATTAACATTTAACATTGTAAATATCATCATGTGTTCCTTTACACAACGACCTATAAATGTCATTGTATATACTGGTAAATTATATGTAACACGTTCACCTGTATGTTACTTGGTGCGTGCTGTGTTAATGACACTGATCCACATCTCTACGTATACTTAAAACATATCATTTATGTACATGTAAACTCTAGTTTATTAGAAATGTGTGTGTGTGTGTGTGTGTGTGTGTAATATCATTAAATTTGTAGTGTTTGTACTGTAAATATACAATAGCATGCAAAGACAATGTTAGTAATTAAAGTCTTCACCTGTAACCTGCGCTTAATAACTCTACAGTATATCATCTTTGCTAGTGAAAAAGTTGAGGTGTTGGAAACGTTAAAATTAAGAACAGTCTTATATTTGTGTTTATGACACGTTAAAATCAATATGTTTAGTAGCTTCAGGGAATTAATGAATCTATCTCACTGCCTAAAATATTCTCAGGCAAGACTTGCAGAGGAACCTTTCGCCTCAGTTGTAAACAAAGCATCAAGTTTTTCTGACTTCTTTCTTACCGAGTTCAAGAATATTAAGGGTAGGCCTACGGCGACGGTGTCAATCACAAAAGTTCCTCCCCGTGTTTTTTTCAGTAAGCACCAAAGAACTTCAGTATTAAATAAATATAATCCGCCAGGAAAACCTAATAACAAGACGGGGAATGATTTTTTTTATTAGTTTACTTGTCATGTCTAGAGAAGAACTAGCCTAGTTACGCGCTTAGTTTTTATCTATTGAAACGCAGTAACGCATTATAACATAACGTAACCAAAAATGAATCAGTTAATCTTTAATTGTTGGTGACTAGTGTAATTACTAGTCAAATATACGCTCTTCGTGGCTTTAGCTGTTACGCACAGCCATTCACCCCTACCCTATGTTTCCTCAGCGTGTGGTTTACCTAATCGACGGTCGCGTGTGGTGGGAGGCAGCTTCTCGGAGTTCAATGAGTATCCATGGATGGTGACGATTATGTACAAGACCCACTTCTACTGCGGTGGGACCCTCATCAGTGATAGATACGTCCTCACCGCAGCCCACTGCATTAGGGGGTAAGGCTGACAACACACGGGGTGATCACACACACACACACACTGATTACTAGAAGGATAATCGTCAAAAAATCCATGCATGAGTAACACATCCTAAGGCATCACGATTTGTCTTATAAATTGAACGAATGAAAAATTCTCACAGGCGGAATGTTTGTTATGTTTACTGTACTTCAACTACTAAATTACGTGCCTACAATAGACTTGACTATACGCACGACATCAATAGTTAAGAATAAGATAGATTTTGGCTGATAACGTAAAGGATAACTATGAACAGACTACCGTAACGACGTAACATCACATATAAACTAATAACGACTAACCTCACATTATTAACGTGCTTAAAGGTGATATAATATTCCTTGTTTTTATATCTACTACAGTATATATATTTATATTTCCATTGCTACATTACACACTGCTCAACCTTTTCGTCATTCATTTTCTGCTGCACGCATACATTATTTTATCATATCTCATTGATATTTTCTCTCACATGATAAATAACATGTAAGTATTCTTCTGTCTATTATGTCATGCCTAAATATTGTCACACCTTTCTTAAAATATAATTCACTATAATTTACATTTCACCTCGTAGACATTTTCTATGTACGATCCATTTTCTTTCACACCCCATGGTGTACTCTGTAATAAACCTATCTTAACTGTCTTGAGCGTACTCACTGTCTTACAACCAATAATGATTGCAGGGTAAGCGTGAACAGCTTAGTGGTGACGGTGGGTGAACACATACGGAGTTTTCCCATTGAAACTAAAAGCAAGGAGTACAAGGTCGTGTACTCCATCTATCACCCGGAGTTTAACCACACCACCTATAATAATGACATCGCCCTCATCAAGCTAGGCCAGAAAGTAGAGTACAAGTGGCACTCCCGTCCAGCCTGCCTGCCTTTACCAAGTAAGTACAGTATGCCGGAACAATCTTCTTTGGTTCACCCCTGAGAATTAAATACATCGGAATATTTTCGCAAGTATTCAGCTGTGATAAGCTTGGTAATGTAGTTCACTTTTTCTTAACTTACTCTCACCTCACACTTGTGTACGTGAGCGGGAGGCCGAACATAACTACGAGCACCGGATATTAATTTATGGAAAATTGCTTACCTTTCTAAGTAGCGTTGTCTCACTTTGTCATCAATCCTCAGAGTACTATTCTGATTATTTCCGTGTAGTATCAAGATTCCTTTACAAGTACAAGAAGTTCATTCAACACTACTTGAGCGGATAATTAGGGAGACTCCATTTTTTTCTTTAGTCACAAAAAATCCGTCATTTGTAAACAAACACTGGAGCTGTTGTGTACTGAAAGCTTAATACACCATTATAAATAAGTTCAGATTCGTTTCTTTTGATTTCCGTCTCTTGTTTATTTCAATAAGAAATATTATATATTGATTATGTAACACATGTAGTAATATTCTCCGTGCAAGTGTCTTCAACGACTACCAAACACTGGTCTTAAGTTACTTCACCGGTGAACAAAACTCGTGCACCAAATGAACTTCCAAATTTCCCTGGTGCATATATATAAATAATTTTAATTTATATTTCAATTGAATTGTTTGCTTTCAGAGTTAACACAATACAAATACACGAAAATTGCTCTTGTGATGAAGTTACAGCATAATCCTCAATATTTCTCAAAAGAAAAGAGCGGGAGTTCATGACATCCAACACGTTCTCAGGCTGCCTCAACCACTACATCCGGCCGCATGATGCACAACTGATGGCATCTTTTCTTAACGCTAATTTTCGCGGTTATCCCCACTACTTACGTTTGGTTGTTATTACACAAGTGTATATAATTTTTCAGGCGAGAATGAACATAAGAGGGTAATACAGTTTGTTTAAAAAAAAATAATTGCCTCGGTTAGAAAATATTCACATAGTATATTTTGTAAGATTAATGGATAGGTAAATAAAGCATTATGCAAATAAAATGTCGGATATTATTGTTACAGGATCTCTGATATTGTAAGAGACACACACACAAACACACTTACAGCAGACTTAAGCATCGTACTTAACATTGATATACAGTATACTGTAAACATTAATTTTCGTGTTTTTTTTTCTAAAATTATAATGTAAAAACAAAAACCTTGAGTACAGTACTTGATAATGCTTATTACAAAAATTCCCAACACTCAAACAGCAAACTCCCATAATTACAGTACACTTAAATATGCTTGGGAGTAGGAAGACAATCATTACAGAATTAGCAAAATGGTGGTAGTTGTTGAGAAATTATCCAGCTGTCTAAAACACATATGATATCCAAATTATTCTAGTTTTGTTTGCAAACTACCGAAATGGTGTTAGTTGTGATTTAAGACTAGCTCACTTACAACCAACATATACACAACAAAGTTACCACAACTACAACCTGTTATTAACGGGTTATGAAAATGGTGGTAATTGTGGTTGAGGACGAGCCTATCCCTCGCCAGGTGTGCTTGAGGCACACTCGTAACACCACTCAATGAAGGAATTAGCAAGGTGGTGGGAAGTGTGACTGAGGATTTTACCTGTCGGTGTGGTTCTCCCGGCACACTGACCCATATACTCGTGTCAGACCATATTGCACTTTCGTTAGTTATGTGGAGCAAATACTAGGTGGCAGCTCACTGTTAGCTTACCAGGAATGGTGTGTGTGTAAAGTATTTTTGTGCTTGTGTGTGTGTGTAATATATTTGTGTGTATGTGGTGTATTTTTTGTGTGTGGTGTATTTTTTATACTTGTGTACTGTATATTAATTAATGTACATTCTGTATAAAGTAATGCTTAGATCACATATGGTTGATACCTTGTCAAATTACAAAATGGATCTCTTAGATGAAGAACATTTATTTCTCTTATTTCACCTGATGTTTAAATATCATAATGCTAAATGGGGGGTTAAGTTAGGTAAAGTCAAGTTATGTTAGATTTAGGTTAGGTCGTTAGGTTAAGAGTCATGGAGGTAATCTTAAAGTGAAATAAGTTACGGGACCAATCGTCTTCTGTTCCCTCTTAATTTAAGTATGAGTCATGAGATCATGGAATAATCTACCAGTTTCAGTGAGGAAGATTTAAGGGTTAACTCTTTCAACTCCAGACTTGAACAGCATTAACAAATCTTTAGGTATTTTTAAGAGCCTGTACATACCCAGTACTTGAAATAGTGTAGTGATTAAAAACACAAGAGGGAAAAGCCTAATAAAACTATTTCAAATTAGTAAATTCTGACGCTTTCTCCCCGGCAGACAGCGACTACGTAGGGGAACTGGGGGTGATCACTGGCTGGGGGAGGACGTCAGAGAAGGGGGATCCCACCGACACACTGAAAGAAGCTCTTGTACCCATCTTTTCCAATGCTGTGTGTCGTCACTCCCTTCGCTACCACTCCCACGAAATCACTGAAAACATGCTGTGTGCCGGATATATCAACGGAGGCACAGACTCATGTCATGTAAGCTCATCATCATCACTGGGAATTTTATCGAAGGTCCTATGGTTAAGTAAAATGATTTCTTGGTTAGTACAGACCGTACAGATACTGTACATTAAATAAATGTTATTGAAGTAAAGTTACAAAGGGCCTGGATTTTTTGTATTAATTTTTACTATGTATTCACAAAAATTCTTACCATTGCTCATGACATATTTTTTATATCTTGTATATCAAAATCTTCTGGCATAAATAAATAAAATACTTCAACAGAGACCCTCTTTCTCAAAACATAGTTTATACAATTTCTTGATAAAGAAAAATTTATTGGTAGTCACTCAAATTCTGACATCGCTGTAAATAATAAACAAAGTGATGTCCAGGCAAGAGGAAATCCTCTGACCTTACATTCCGGACTTTCAGGGTGACAGTGGAGGTGGCCTAGTGTGGCAGGGAACAGATGGCAAAATGGACGTCATAGGTATGTAAACACTGTTTTTGTGTCTCTCTCTGTCTGCTCATGTCTTTAATGAACTGTTGCTAGAAATGAAGTACAGTCAGTCCTCGACTTACGATGGGGTTAGGGACCGACTATCAGGTAGTAAGTCGAAAATGCGAAAATAATACATAGAAAATCTAAAATGGGTGTCTCTTTTTCTTCTCAGCACCACGAGAACTCTCACGTTTGCACTTGCCAGCCATTTTAAAGGGAATTACAAACGAAAATTTTGTCAGTACACAGCGCGATCACTAATGTCGGTACTAGAAAATACGTAATTTGAAAAATATTTTATACGACTGCGGCAGTTGTAAGTCGAGGAGTACCTGTTATTTGCCACATAATTTTATTTCCTTGCAATTTGAGCAAATTTCACTGTTCAATCAACACTATTTCCTATATGCACTGCATTATTTCTTATGTTCAAACTGTTCACTTAGCAAATATAGTACTGTACATAATGTATCATTTAGTGACAATAGGTACTTCATTTCATCTGTCAGTTAATGTTCTTTACAGAAACAGTCTACTGTATTTATTCAAAGTCCCTTAGCTCACAGTGCTGTTGCTGGCAATTATACTACAGTACTGAATTAAAATTCCTGTACAAGTATATTAACATTGAGATCTACAAGGATGAGGATGTAGGCATGAGATTTTATGGGCAATTCTTCAGGGAAATAAGACACCTTATTATTTACTAAAAAACGGGCTGAACTGTTCACTGTGCTGTCCAACAGGTGTGGTGTCGTGGGGTGACGGATGTGGACGTCGGGGTTACCCAGGGGTTTACACACGTGTCACCAAGTACCTGTCCTGGATAGAGGAACACACCAAGGACAGCTGTTACTGTGGCAGAAGACGTGGAAGAACCTGATAATCAAATGAATTAAGTTGTGTTGTACCTGTAATTGGTAGTAGTATTTTTTTATATGTTTGATGTCCTGTACTGGTGTGCTGTAGTACCTAACAATATTCTTTTTTTCCACTTAGCTATGTGGTGATGATACTTAGTAGTTTTGCCTCATGGGATTTTGAATGATGACAGTGACTTAACACACATTCACTTTGTATCCTTAATCTACCTCTTTGTGAAATATGTTTATGTACACAAAAAATTATACAAGGATGTATTATTTGTAGTAGAACAAATGAGTTCACATGGAGTATGTCATATAGAAAGGAGAATTTTCCTGAAATCCCACATTATGACTGAACCCACAGTTACGGTAAGTGACTTATATATTATGTTTACCATGCCAGTAGGTTGAATCCATGAAATTCTCCATTATTAGTGGTTGAACCTAATTAATGAATTAGTTATGCCTTCCCATAACACAAAGTCCCTGAAAGTGATCCTTAGAACCTTCAGTCACCATTCAAGGTAGAAGGCAACGAGAGGAGGTGTCTTCCTTGAAGAGTTGTCAGACCCAAGGCCCTCAGCTTACCTGGAGAAATGAGATGACTCATTTCAGGACTAATTCTAGTCACCCTGCATTGCATATTTACTAATATGTTGGGGCAGTACCAGAGCCAATTGGTGAGCCAGGTACAGAACCATAATTAGAAGCTTCCTCTCTGTCCAGAAAAGCACTACCTCTGACATGTTAAGCCCTGATCAGAACCTTGACAGGATCCTCTCTTCTGGAGTCCTAATGATCAAGCACAAATAGCAAATCCATACCCTGAAAAGTCTGGAAGAACAAATTAACCACATAATATGTTCTGCTGTAAATAATGACAGTTGCTTCTAAAGAAATCATTCTGAGAATTCGTTGTGATGTGAAGGTATAACTAGTCCATAAACACTGTCTCAGACACTAATGTTAGAGGGTCTCCTGAAAACAGTAGCAGTAACATACGTAGTGTTATAACTTATATTTGGAAGACAAAGCAATCTTCTTACTCATTCATAGTTATCAAATATACAGTACAGTATTAAGAAGATATATTAAGTTCCTTTATGCTATGTTGCTAGTCTTGCACAGAGCAATGTACAGTATTAAGACATTAAGGTCAAATTGTCAATATGATCATAGTATTCATGTTATTCCTTTTACCTTTACTTAGTTTTGTTTTACAAAAATCCATAATTTTGTATTTTTTGCTTTTTCATATTAGAATAAGTTAACACATGTTGCTCTTATATCTCTACATTATATCCTGTGATTGTGTTAAGTTAGTGTGAGGACTGACAGCACAAAAGGCTGGCAATGCTATTCAAGAGACCACTGAGTTTTACCCTGTAGGTCTGGGAAATATCACAAGCTTGTCAGTGCTGCAAGACTTTAGGCCAATTGGAAGGGAGAAATCAGGGAAAAAATCTTCCCCATAAAAGTATTAGGAGTCAATCAGGAAAGACCGCATAGGATTATCTATGTAACCAAAAATACCTTCCTCAGATACTTCTGTCAGTTGCTCCCATCTATTTTATTACTGTGAATATTAGTACAATACTGTACTTGTTTTTTATTCATATACTGTATCTGATATTTATACAGTAACTGTTTCACTGTGCCATAATAAACAGTTGGTGTACAGGCAAGTTCAACAAGTGATATGATCAATGTCACATCATCTAGCAACACTTTATAATAATAATAAATAAACTGTTTTCTATAAATGATTTTTGTTAATAAACAATTACCTCTGTATTATTTGGCATCAACTCTCTTTTATTCTTCTATTAAATAACACATTTCCTGAGAGAATAGAAACTACAGCATTTGTTAACTTATTGAGAAACACTAAGGCAAGACTAAGAAGGCGCATTGTTGAGCACTAAAGAACAAGATATCAACCCTAAACAACAATTCATCTATGACCACCTAACATGTCTTCAATAACTGTTTTAAGATAAAGGTAATCACTATTTACAGGATTAAATTTTTTCTTGGGGAAAAGGAAAGCTGTTTACGGTAGATTTTTCTAAATTTCCAGACACTCAACGCATCCACTGATCTGTACATAACAAAATACATTAATATAATCTAACACATACATTAAATATTTTGTACAAATCAACTCTCATACATAAGAAAAGTACATTTAAGAATTGTTGATCAATATGTGAAATCTATCTTTACAACAACACGTAAAAAAAAAAATAATGAACAACACATCTGAAGATAACAATTCGTAAAAAAAAAAATAATGAACAACACATCTGAAGATAACAATTCTAAGTCAGATGAGTAGATAACTAGACCACCTACATCATCAGCTCCAATTAGTGTCAAAGGAATGATCAAGTGGTGGCCATATTTTCAAGACTTCTCCTTTAACCTCCTTGTTCTGTAGCCACTGCAGGTATTCCCGCCGTAGATCTGTAAGAGAAAAAGGTGTACGATTATATAATGGGGGAAGTAAAAGTATTGATGAGATATATTTAACACCTTGACTCCAAATCAAATATACTCCATGAAGCACAAATCCATACACTCTCTCTACATTATTTACAAATTTCTTCATATATGTGCAGTGTCTAAAGGCTGTGAAGGAAAGTTATGAAAAACATTTATTATTTCTAAACTGAATTACAATTTGGATCCGCAGCCCATGCCTCCTTTAACTTGGCCAGGTTTGTGATGTCTTTGCTCATCAGTGCACGAAGGAGACTTTCCCGTTGTTCACGATATCTGCAGAGATGAAAGTCAAAATGAGGCCATTGAAATAATCTGTAAACATATCTAAACATATAGTAGAGTCTGGAATGGAGAACACTGTGGAAGATCAAATGTATGCTGTACACAGTAAAAAAAAAATAAAAAATTGAATGTAAATAATGGTTAACATGCTTAGTTTACTCTACTTTGGATGTTTATAGAAAATACAGGTATACAATTCAACATGTATGCAGGTACTTAGTGCAGGTATACAAAAAATAAACAGTGTATAAATAATGTGGGTACAGTGAGTTCTGCTATAACGCGTGTTTTGATAACGCGAATTTGCTCTAACGCGATTTATGAATTCGGAACAATATTTGTATAACGCGAACGCTTGTTTGCTATAACGCGATTTTTGCTTACTATTTCTCCAATTTTGTGGTATTAACTGTGAATATGGTAAAGAAGAATATCTCCAAAAAGCGTTCTGATGATAGAATTCCCGGTGATTATCGTAAAAGAAAGGATATAACACTTGAAGAGAAGCTCGATGTTATCAACCTCAAAATCACCCTTCTCCCCCATCAAGTTACATTCATATTTTTTCAAGGTAAAGTGTTAAATTTACTGTATGATTTCATTATTAGATATGAATGTAACATTTATTTAGACTGTGCTATCCTTTGTGTTAGGCTAACTACTAAATTTTTTCGATTTCGAGTAATCTGCACCTAACCCTATTTTCTCCATAAGCCCTGTTATTTCTATTACGCGATTTTCTATAACACGATATTTTACAAGAACACAATTATCGCGTTATAGCAGAACTACCTGTATACATCAATGGTAAAGAGCATGGCAGTTTAACTTTGACACACACACACACACACACATGCACTCACACCACATCCATAAAAGCACACACACATACACACACACACACAAGCATATACCCACACACACAATTCTCGCTTTATGCTTTGCCATCACTCTACACACATAATACACATACATCTCACCTGATAGCAACTGGGTTAACTAGTGTCCTCGGTTCATAGAGATGACCCACAATGTTTTTAAGAGGTGAGCACATGTGGCCAATCAGGAAACAATAGGCTACCCAGTTAAAGAGATCTCTACCGTATGGATATTCTACCTCCACTTCAGGAATCTCCCATGATGCTGGCCCTGTGATGTAGAGGAAGACTCATATAAAATATCATATATCATCTAAATCACATAACAAAGGGTAATTCAGCCTTTTATAAAGCATAGAACCTGAATTTAACATTATCATTAAACTGGTGCAAGATTCAGATAGCAGAGATAATATACAGAACCAATATATGCAATAATCTCAAAGTATGATAACACTATGAACAGCTATATACCATACCTATCCATCTATAATACTTTGATGAAAATCTGTACATTCCTATATTACTTCCCGTTATTTACTGTAGCTAGATTTTGGTCATTCATGGAGACTTTGCTTATCATGTCCCCCTTTCCATCAATGTTTTTATTATCACAAATCATAACAGGAAATCACAATTAAGAAATATATTCAAATGTTTAGTCACCTACACTTATCCATGGTACAGTGGCTGGTGTGGTTAGTGAGATGGGGCAGCTCTATATTTGTTTAAATTACGGTAAAACTCTCAGAATGGCCCTAAGAAACCTCGCTTTAGTAAATGAGCATTCCATGGAGTTGCCACATCTCATAAAATGTATCAGCCAATGTACTAGATATTCTGCTCTTTCAAGCCTTTCTATATGTACTATAATGTAAAGTATACTATAATGTAAAGCGATGAGAATCTAGAGCAAACAGTGACTCTCCCTTCATTCACCCTTACTGATATAACACCTGTATTCACTATGGTGGTGGTCACCTTCCCTAACTATGCCCTGGTTCATCCATGTTGCTTCATCTAACCTAACCTAGCAACAACCTTCATCAATAGTACAGTACAGTACCGGGTATATCACAGTGCTAAGCAATTATTACCAAACTTCGCAGTTCGATGGCAGACAATTTTATCTCGGTCAGCATCATAGCGAGGTTCAGGAGACTCCAGAGGTGGTGAAAAGGTGCAGAGATTTGGAGCAAACACTGCCAGCCATTCTGGTTCTATAACTGTCACATCTGAAGAAAAATTAACAAGCATTAAGTCGAAAGTCTCTGAAAATGACTGAAACAGGAATTGTATCATAATTTTACACAAAGGAAGTGAATTTATATGTTCTGTAATTATCTTTTAACAAGAAAGGATTCTAAGAAGATATTTATTTAAAGTAACCAAAGGGAAATACACTGTACCATAGAATATCACAGATAGACAACATCTTTTATACCAACACACAACAAAAACAAAAGATAAACTCCATACTTACTTCTCATGAACATCTTGTGAGTCTCATAAACGTCTTGGTAAACAACCCATTGTGGCATGTCGATTCGACCTATTGATGATGTTGGCATGAAGACTGGCTCCTCCATCTCCTGTGTTCTATAAGGAATGAAGAAGTGAGAATTTCAGTACAATATTATTCACCATAAGGAAATAAATGAAAGAATATGAAACAATAGATTGATCCTGGTAATTCCATATTATGACTCAGGTGGTAACAGGGAGACTAGGCCTAATTCTGGCTAAACCTATGCCAGGTTCCAAGACAAAATACACACACATGACATTTAAATTAAGGATAGGTAATGATAATATATAGTCCTGCAGAGAAAGTATGTGATGCAGATTATTAAACAGATGGATAAAATGAACCACTTTACAGTATTGTTAATCTGTATTCCCATTTCAAGAGACAACTTCACTGCCATTAGGAGACACTAAACAATGTGACTCTTACTTTGTTTGGAAGGAACTCTCCCTAAATAGTATGATATTGTGTAAAGGAGTTAGTCTGTGTAAACTCTTAGAATATTTATAATGATCATCAAATCCAACTGGCTTAGTCTTAAGTATAATTATATCACTTTCAGAAAAATTCAATAAATCTACAGTAAATCAAAACAAAAATAAATTTTATCCATAAGAAGTAGGAAACAACTTGCCCAGTCTCACCTATATGCATGCCTCCACTTTACTTTGTCTTCCGGGGTCTTCAGTTCACAATCATCCACGCGACGCGCAACATGGTCAACTGAGCCGGCCAGTACTATCTGTCTTAATAGTCGAGCCTGGGTAGAAACAACACATTAATAAGGATGAACCTAAACATTAATTCAAACTCCTTTACTCCACAAGATGACCACAAAAACTGGAAATAATAGAGAATATCATTTACAACAGTTCAAAAATGCTCAAAATGTTCATCCCATGATCTCAACAACACATTTCTAAAGGCAATGACTAAAGTTTCTATGAACTCAGTGAATTAGCTTTGCCATTAATTTGGGTGTGGATTTCATAAGTTTCCTGTAGACTTCAAGGGCTATTACCAAACACTATTTCACCTGGTCATCAGTAGGAGGTGCCATGTGAGGGTCCAAAATAAGGTCACACGATGGGATGATAAGGTTAATCTCGTTTGTTAACTGTCGGCGTAATTTGCGGATTTCTGTGATTCCTTTGTGTCTGTTGAAATAATTTCCAAAATAAATATTATCCCCCATGGGTGAAGTGCTAATTACATTGCAATCACCCCTCACCTTAAAAGCAGAGTAAACTAGAGTTATGTTGGTAAAATTAGACCCCACTGGTGTCAAAAGTACATAAAGAAGCCCTTAAGTAATTATCACTGTCCTAGATAGGATACTTTTTAAACAATTCTGGGATGGAAAAAATATTAGTGGATGGACAGATGAACAGAAACAAGTGCAGTTCAACATGCCTGAGTCTGTTCAGTTAATTAGCTGCCAAGATATATTATTCTTTTAATAGACCTCATGAAAGTAGGAAAATAACTGGGAGAAACAAAAGTCATAGTAATATTATAGCAATGTCAATCGTTTACATGAATTTCATACAATGTAAATCTCTAGAAAGTCTCAAGAAAATATCTGTAAGCAGTATTTGAAATATCTATTTAGAGTTATGAATATTAGCTTATCTGAACATAAACAGAGTCTACAAGGGTATAGGACAATAAAAGAATCTCCCCGTTGAAGTACTGACCGTAGTCCGTTATTTTCACACCAGTCCCGTGCTCCGCCCTCGTATTCGGCCGCACCAACAGCTCGAAGTAATACCATGACATCTCCTAATCTCCTGGAATTTCCTGTACCTGCCCATGACATCCTTAAAGTCCGCCATCTCTTCCGTACATCTGAAGACGAACACAATTTTACAGAAAACAGCAAGTGTAATTCTATCTATCCATCTATATCATAAACAGTACAGTACAGTATTGTTATTTCTAAGTCCTTCAATGCACAATGTTTCATCTGAGAGTGTGACATGGGTGTAGGATGAAGTTGGCCTGATAAAAGTACCATAAACAGATCAAGAGATACTGTCTTTACACCTCTTGGGGGAATACATAATGTCACCCTCTATGAATGGGCCTAAAATCTTACTTACCATTTACATTCTCCTTTAAATCAAGAGGAGTTTCTATAAGGACCTCAGGAACTGTAAGAGCTGCCACTAAAGCAACTGTGTATGGCAAAAGGGAATGCTGGTGGCTGAGTGCAAGCATTTTACCATACCGAGGAGCCAGTGGGAACGCTGCCATGGCTTTGCCCAAGGAGGTGATGCGACTCAAGTCTGGAAAACAATTTATTATTAATTACCAGCTATGAACACTTATATCAAATGTGTTTTTTATTTTAACTGAAGCACTTTCCCACTATACTACAGGCTAACCAGAAACAACAGTAAACACAAACTGGCAATCCCTATTTCTTTGTGCTGTAACATATGATTTCTGCTATAGTATCCTCCTTCCACAGCAAGGCAAGAATTTAGTGATTGTTTCTCTATTATTTTCATCAAGTAAGAATCACAAAATAATTGAAAATATAAAGGTAAACAGTTTTCATGTAATAAGTCTACTGAAGCTGAATAATAAACCCATTTTGAATTTATAGTGGCATAATAAGTCTCTTTAACATGGAGTATAATAATCCTATGAATTTCACAAAAATTCTTTCACTCTGGGCATCTTTGTGTAGGATAAATTACCTTTAGCTTTCTGGGTCTTTATCTTTTTGTACTTAGGCAGTGATCCTGCTGCTGGGTCTGGCAGTTCCTCTAAAGCACCTAAAGTTAACAACCTTTTTATGCCATGACAAATCTGTAATGAAACATATAATGAAAATGGAAACCTATTAACCCAACTTATATCCAGATAAACATTAAATTAGTTACTAGTTTTTTATAATGATGATGAAGACAAGAAACGTACAGTATTGCAAACACCTACTGGAATGTAAATGTCAAAGAGATTTCTGATTTAATTTTTTCCACACGACAAAAATCCTTGGTCAAAAGGCATCACCTGTAGGTACTCGGGTGGTGTGGGAAATGGGAAATTAACCACAGGAAGATTCATGGCTTTCATCACTAGCACCAGATCATCAATGGGACGTCGCTGGATTTCAGCACGTGAAAACTTGAGGAACTCGTCATTGAATATCGCTGAGGAATACAGACGATAACAATGACCTGGAGCCGTCCTGCCAGCTCGACCTGCTCTCTGATTGGCTGAGGCCTGGGAGGTCCACGTTACATGGAACATTGACACTCCAGTCACTTTATCATATACCTGTCAAATATAAATATCTTTTAAAAAAAATCTAATCTTTCCTCAAATTAGGTGACTAAGAGAAATGCAGTATGAAAGAGCACACACATACAAAACACTGTCAACAATACTTAAGGACAACTCTTGATACAAAAAATAATGTGAAAATATTTAAAAAAATAATCTTATGTGACAATAATTAGTCCATATAACAACAGCATTCGGCGAGTACTGAACAATCTTTCTGTACATTTATTGGTATATTTCAACATAGCACTGTACTATAATTCATCTAACCACTAATTATATACAAACACTCCAAGCAAGAACAAGACAAACAACAAAGTGGCCCAAGATGTGTTAATTATACCATTATATTTATAACAAAATTACTAAACATTACTTGTGTTTTATGGTATTTTTCACTTGTGCTGTTGGTGTATTTCTTGCCTCATATATCCAACCCACAGAACAGGGACTTACCTTCTCCTTTACTTTACCACAGTCTACTACATATTTGATGCTGGGTATAGTGAGGGACGTTTCAGCTACATTGGTCGCTACAACACATAGTCGCGTACCTTCTGGCGGTGGCCGGAAGACCTGTTAAAAAATGACAGAATATTAACTCTTCATAATATTACATTAATAAACAGACAAACTGACAGACTTTAAGCTCATTAAATCCTCAGCTTACACATGCAGTACACAAAAAAGAATTAATAACATTCATAAGATCACCTGAAGATTAGCTCCTCCAACTTATTTGTTCACTTCACCATTGGTCTTTGCATGTTTAATCATCAGGTGAAATAAGCTAGGGGAAGGGGCTAATTTTCAGGTGAACTCTAACATCATCTACAAGGTAAAAATAACATCACCATATACTATGATAAAAATTAGTAAGGTACAGTAAAACAATGTCATCTACCAGTCTTTTGGAAATAAATGTTTGTATGTTACTGCTGAAAGTATACTGGTACAAAGACACCAAGTGACTCCTACCATCTGTTGTTTTTCAGGAGGTAACATGGAGAAGAGCGGTAAGACCCAGAGAGGTTGTTCTGGCTCGCCCTGTTCCCCAAACCTCTTCTTCCCTGCTATTATGTCGTACTCCTCCTCGTCCAAATCTAAATCACTATCGCCATGATCTACAGCTCCTCGGTCCTCCAAATCCGCCACATCTTCGGCAAAGTCTCCCTCAGCATCATCAGGCAGGGCAGATGAGAAGCTGAAATTATCGTTGAATTCATATGAAAATGATAACAATACAATTCAGATCTCATCACTTGCTCAAGCCTTTTTTTTTGCTTTACTTAACTACACAGACATGGCCACATCCATTATATTTTCTCATATACCTGTATAAAGCAATGACTCTGGCTCTGTCATTTAATCAGGTTCTTTAACCCCCATGTGTTGGGTTTGTGACTATTTAGGGACCTGTGTAGACTAACCTCAGACCTTCTTTCACTCTTCTCTAACATGGCTGGTATCAGTGACTGTTATTGCCATTATGGCTTTAAATCCTATTTATTACCCATTAAGGACTGCATAACCTACCACCACAGATGCAAAAAATGGAATGCACAAAACATCAACTGACAAGTGACATTCACTACTAATGGTTGCCTTTCTAAAGGTTAAAAAAGAAAACAAAACTTACTTCTCCAGTTTCACTTCAGGCAACACAATCTTTTTGACAGGAGACTCTTTATCTGCTTTCCTCTTGGCCTTAATCTCAAGTTTTTTCTTTCTAAATCCACTCACTTCTTTTCTCATTTCATCTTTACTGCTAGAATGCACGGGGAATGTTGCCCGTAACTTGCGGACCAGAGTGTTCACTTCCTGCTGACCTGAAAATAGAAAAAAATTGACTTAAGAGTCTCTTAAAAACAAAGTAATATTATCTTTTCACTTCCCATTATCAATCAAGGCATAACCTCTTTCACTTACCAAAGTCTTTTGCTGATATTCTATTCTTAATGGAATACTGCCTGACATTTGGATCAGTCACACAGATGGATATGTTTCTGTTTACTATAAACTGTAAATGGTGGTTTCACACGATCAGCCAAAAAATAATATCTACTGCAATGAACACTGGCATACATTCCTCTATGTAATACCTATTAAAAAAATTAAAGGGCACATTGCCTATCCTTGCCACTCTGCATTATAAAGCTCAACAATAATAAACCTACCTGCCCTAGTATCATAAAAGGGATAATAATCATAACATGTGAGAAAATTTTATAATGTGTCATACAGCTAAAACCATGAGGGAGAAATCAACCAATCCCTCAAGCGTACCCGTCAGGAAGATCAGTATGCCCCCCTCGGGAAGCTGACGATGAATCTTGCAGGCCTTCTTGTACGCTTCTCCCAGATAATCTTCAGCAGTTCGTTTGTTGTAATGGATCGTTACGTCAAACATTCTCGCATCAACCTGGAGTTTTGACATAAAACTGATGAAAAACTGTTTTAATACGAACTTCTTCAATTGTACTGTATATCCAATGGGAAATCTTGAGGCCTTCTTCTGGAATGGGAATATCAAAAGTAATAGGACACCCTAACTTATTTCACTTGAAGATTAAATACCTTAATGCTTCCTGTAGGGGTTAGGTTAGAGAAGAATAGGTTTGCTTAGGTTAGCATTAAGGTGTTTAACCATCAGGTGAAATAAGTTGGGGTGCCTAATCTTCAGGTAATTCAGAAGTGCGAATAAATGACTGACAATGAAAGAGGGCACGAGTTGCTCTAAACTCAAACCACCAACACATAAGACAAGACGATTACAGACAACATCCAGAGATCCAGTATTAAAAATAATCATAAAAAACAACTAGTGTATCTGTGAAACAATTGACGTACTGTGCCATGAAAATTTCTTCCAATGTTTGTGATGTATATATGAAATAACGTATACAAGTACTGTACAACATATAACAAGGACCTCCGATACTTTTGCTTATCATATTGGATTAAAGAAGTCAGTGTGTATATCATGATGATACCAGAAAGTTCAATATTCATGAGGAAATGCAGTTTTCTATGCTAATAAAAAAGGATATTCACAGCACATCCATTCTTACACAATTAATACAGTACAGTACTACCCATTAATGTAAAGCACAATATACTGTTTCTCACACACACTTATCTATCTCCACCCAATGAGAAATTCTAGTCACAAACCTTAATAACTGGAGGTTTTGGTTCTTTAAAAAGACGAACATTTTCGGTGAAATCCTCAACTTTCAGCGTAGCCGACATAATGATGAGTTTTAATGGCTTGCCCTTGGCCTGTCGCCTTGGGATGATCCGCGAGAGAATACCGATCAGAATGTCCGAGAAGACACTGCGCTCATGGGCTTCATCAATGACTATCACAGAATATTTCTTTAGTGTTGGATCCTGTTGGAAATAATTGTAAAGTAATGCAACATGTATCATCATCATCATAATAATTCATCACACAACTTCATATTAAGATACAAGTGTAATTTTAATATGTATCAATTTATACTAAAAGAGTGGAAATGCTGGTTAGATCTTCAAGTAACTTTACATTTAAATTTGGTGGTAATTAATCTTCTCCGTGTCCTAAGAACAAACAGGTGAGAAAGATTGGCATTACTATAAAGTCCGAATAATACACAAAAATCTTAAAAAATGATGAGGAGCAAATAAATAAGAAAACCATAGAAAGATTACAGAAAACTATCTTCCTGCAACTTAAAATAATATATTACATTTTACGGATAATTATCACAAGCTTGGTATTACAATAATGTTTAATAGGGTAATGAAGGAAGTTATTATTGACAAACTCTAAAAAATGGTACTGTAATGAGAGAAGAAAACACTGTGAGTCTGGGAACAGTACATTATAAATCTGAGAATGAAACACCATCATATACAGTAGTACAATATATATTTACCAACATCACTAAAACTAAGTAAAAAAAAATAGTTACATCCCATACAATACTCCACTTTCAATTATATAAATTGAAATAATATTTGCTACTTCTTCAAAAAACAATGAAAATTAAATAAAAAACATACCGGTATTCAATTTGTGCATTATCTATTCATTAGCATCAACTTTAGAATCATATAACTGATAAAGGATATAACTGGTGAAAGATAAATCTTGTTGATATTTATAACCCATCAAGGACTCTAAAGTAGATAAATCATGATAACTGCATTGACTGCACTCATAGTCACAATAATAACTACCAGCAAACCATAAAAATTAACTAAATCTAAATTGCCAGGTATAAGAAGTATACATGGCATTATTCTTTTCAAACGATTCATTGTTCTTCTTACTAGACATCGTTACTATGAAGACTACAAACTTGGGCTAACATGTTAACAAATATAGATGACTCGGACTGAAAAACAGAGAGAATTTTAGCCACAAGGCACTTAAAACTGAGAAAGCTGAGCAAGACTTACCAATTGGATTTCTTTCAGTAAGACACCATCTGTCATGAACTTGATCTTCGTATCTGAAGTTGAATTACCTTCAAATCGTATCTGATAGGACACCTCTCTTGATGATAAATTCATCTCGTGTGCAACTCTCTGAGACATTGAAATAGCAGCCACACGTCTTGGTTCGGTGATACCGATCATCTTGCCGTTGCTAAAAGTAAATTGTGATTATACTGTAGTGTATATATGTACAGTACATAATACATTGGTTGCACAGTATTTACAACAAAAATTACAAGAACAAATGTGCATGATGACATGTCTTAATACAATTAACATCATTACAGATACAGTGCTGTACGGTACTGCATCAACAAAATTAATAAACCAAACTCTCGTACAAATGTGTGTGATTAATACTCACAACATAATTAGCTTAACTACAGGTACAGTACCAACCTAGTATATCCTGTCTCATACAGAAACTGAGGAATCTGTGTTGTTTTGCCACTACCCGTCGCTCCCACAATAACCGTAACAAGGTTTTCACTGATGGCCTCCATAATGACCTGCTCTTCTGCTAGGATAGGAAGCTTGAGCCTTGCTGCCTGAACCTCAGCTAGACGGTTTAAGTTCATGAACACTGCCGGCTGCTTCACTGGCTCAACAGCATCTGCCTTACTTGACTGTGTTTCTGCTGGTTCACTTCTACTTGAGTCGGCTTCAGCTGCCGGACTGGTGTCTTTTGTCTGTTCCTGTTCTCCGTTAAGTTCTCCTATTACCTCTGTGTCACTTTCTTTAGCTTGCTCTTCCTCTTCATCATCACTTTCATCACTACTGCTAGATAATTCCTGCAAAATATTCAAATAAGACACGGCATACTTAAACATATCCAGTCATCTTCCAATCTTAAATGGAATGGATCAAGAGATACAGAAACTTCAAGAGGTTGGAAGCAGTTAGGGAGAGTAAACCATATATAAAAAATGTTTTGGGAGAATTATTGAAATTTTTTAAAAGCCATATCATACATGTACAGCTTACCTTCATCATTCATAGTACTGCACAGTACAGTACTGACATTATCACTTCATTGGTAATGATAGCATTCAATAATCTGAATAAATCTTTTATTTACTTCATTAGATTCTAACAGTACTGTTCTGTACTATCATCAATAATTTCTATCTTTCATCACACGAGAGTTGCATTTTATTACTAATTCCTTTACTCCAACCCCTGACATGAACTGTGTACTGTACTCAACTTCCATTCCATTACAATAACTACAGCCTGGCAAAAACTCGTCACAGAAATTTTATTGGGCATAAAAAACAAAATCTCACCCCAAGTCGAACAACATTTAAGTCATTATTATCCTTCTGTTCTTTATCCTCTTCCTTCGAGGGTTTCTTTCGCTTTCGTCCCTTCACACTGCTAAGCACCTTCCCCTCCTCGTCCTCTACTTCATTATTTGTTAGCGCGGTGTAATCTTCTGTCTTAAACCTTTTCCTCCCGAGTGTCTGGGTTTCTTGCAGTTGAGTCAGTTTCATCAAGTCCTTTGGATCAGCCTTAACTTCCTGTAGTGCTGTGAGGAGGCCGGCACGCTACCGAGCAAAGGGAGATGAAAAAATAACAACTTCTTAACCTCTTGTATATGGGGTCGTTAAAGACCTGAGTAAAATCGTCTCGCTTTAACCAAATAATTTTTAAAATGTGGCATCCCCATAGTGAAAGGGTTAATCTTTAATTTACAGATGTTAAAATAAAATCCTCTTCTTACAAGTTTAAATACAACAAAACAAAAGTAAATTACAAAGATGAACAGCTACAACTAAATTATACAAGTATTTAAATGTCATGGATTTTTTATTTCTTTGGAGGATAAAATGAAGTATTACTGTCATATCATACTCACCTTTTCCTTTTTATTCTTCTGATCCACAATTTTCTCCAAATGTTTCCGTTTCTTCTTAGACAGGAGCTTGACTGGGCCTGTAGATTTATCGCGCAGTTTTTTCGTAGCACGTTTTTGGGATGGGAGAACCAGAGCATTACTCGCATCATACTTGTCTGATGATTCAAGCTCAACTTTAATCTGGAAGGCATTCAAGCTACTGAAATTCTGACACTAACATATATATTGGGTTAATATTGACGACTGAACCACGGACGAGTTATTTGGTTTGCTGTTTATTTTCTTACTATATTTTCATAAGTGAGTTCTGATATGATACTCAATTCTTGTGCAAATGCTTCCTTTGGTATATAATTAGACACCTAGGCGCACACTACTTGTCTTCTTGGCGGTAATGTGGAGATGAATTTTCTTCCCAGGATATACCGTAAACAGCCAATCATACTGATATATTCAAAACACTTTGCCGCCCGGGCCAGATCAACACCGATGCTCAGATTATGCCTAAGAACCTTTGGTACGGACGCTATTCTCACGTCCATAAAAAAATTAAAATTATCCCATATCATGGCAAGTTCTTTCTGTTTAATATACTGGGAGCTCTGGCTAGGAAACTAGGTAAGGTTCGGTAGGTTTGTTTGGTTATGTTGGTGAGGTCTTCTAACAATGCTTCTGCTGCTTGTTTTTCATTTCAACTAAGGTTAGGTTAGGTTTAATTTAGAAATAACCAGTTTGGGTAATTATATAGGACTAAACCACGAGCGAAATTGATTGAAAACAATTATAAAAACGCCGGATTTTCATTGTTATATTAAAGTGGACACCGTTGTAGTTAATGGAAATATGTTAAAAAATTGATATTTTTAAAATAAACACTACTTAATATTTGTGGCTGTGAAGAACAAACCTAACCAACCAAACCAAACAAACCTACCTAACTTTACTTAACTTCCCCGGTATAGTAAACAGAAAGAACTTACTATGCTATGGTGAAATTTGAGGCAATTTCTGGACGTGAGATGATATGGCCGCATCGTCGCTATGCAGCCCTGGCGGGTTAGTCCTATATATTAACCCCAGTTTTTAACACATTTGCACAAACTACGGCAGTGTCCACTATAAAACAGTGAAATTGCAGCGTTTTTATAATGGTTTTGTATGAAAAGTCGGACGTGGGTCAGTCGTCAATAATTATATTGAAAAAAATAGATAGGCTACAGGTAGGAAATCATTTTTATTCACTGCCATCTTAAGTCTCCTAAGACAACTTTCTCATGGATTTGTGAATATGGAAATAAATTTGCTTTTGTTTTCAGGTTTGACGGCAATGTTTATACACTAGTTCTTAAAAGGCAATTCCCTCTATCTAACCAAGCTAATTTTATGTCAAAATATATGGCACTAATTTAATCCATTAACTCCATAATAACTACCACCTTAATAACTACCACCTTACCTTCTTTAACTCAGAGTCATCAGTCACAACGGTGGGCCGCGACTTGTACTTCAGGCGAGACCTTCCCATCGTGGCTCTTCTTTATTGACTTATCTCCTTCCCTCTGGCTTATCATACAAATTAATATCTACACTCTTAGTTAATGCACAATCGTCATGGATTCGTCTTTTCAATCTGAGTTAATATAGTTAGAGGATAGGGATATATTGAGAGTATTAGGGTACAGTTGCAGACCTCACATGTGTTTGTTTACTGTCCAGACCAAAGGCAGGGTTGCCAACTCGGATTTTCAAATGTCGCTAGGCTGGTACCTAAAAGTAGCTAAATGTCGCTAAATCTTCCATGGAAAGTCGCTAGCTATTATTCCCCCCCTTCAGTAATTTGATGCAAATAATATATTCATAATGCCGACTATAATGGACGGAGTATAAATAAAATGCATTGTGTAAAAATAAAAATATTATTTTTTTTAAAGTTTAATGTGCACACTTACCTATTATTCAATAGTAATTGCATCCCAGTCCTCTTGGTAGTGTGAACAACTGTAGAGCTGGAAGCATGTGAAGTGCTTGGTTCAGGTTCTCTTGTAACTGTATGCCTCCACAGTCCCTATCTTTCTTAAAATATCACTAGGAAGTTCATAACTTGCACAACAGGTGTTCTGTCTTTTTAACCCATACTTTATTGTAAGAATTGCCTTTAATGTCGATAGTTTCATTTTGTTGCGCAATTTTGATTTCACAAAGTTCATATTACTAAATGTGCGCTCTACATCTGCGTTTGAATGCGGAAGAGATAAGGCAGCGAGTGCAATTTCAGCCAGATCATGGTAAGGGTTTTCACCTGTCGCATCTCTGTAATTTGCCACTTCTGACCACAATTTTAGGGTGTTAGATGTTTCTGTCCAGATTGTGTGATGCAGTTTTTTCCACTGGAAATCAATCTTGGTAAGGGTGCTGGAATCTTTTGTAAATAAGTGTGCCAAACCAAGTATATCTGATTTAATAGGCTTCAAGCATTCATCGGCACTCAGAAAAGAAATAGACTGCAGCACACGAATGTTGTCAGGTAAGCGTTGACGAAGTTGTTTTATGAGTTCAACCCGTTCAAATGTATTGTCCCTGTAACCCCGTTGCTATATATTATGGCTCGAAATTAGGAAAACTGAGTTTTCATGGACAGTCCAAAAGTATCCAGAAAGTCGCTAGATTTCTGTGGATATCTCTAGATTTGCGACAAGTCGCAAATCGCTCTAAAATGTCGCTAGAAAAAAACAAAAAGCTCTAGATCTAGCTACAAAGTCGCTAAGTTGGCAACTCTGACCAAAGGATTGTAATAAAAATATTATATTGCATTAAAATATAACCTAGAATTCCTAAATTATCATATTTTATTGTACATTAAAAAATTATTATGTAAGCTGTTATAAAATTTGTTTTAACGGCATTGCTTCCATGAATAAATATCCTTGTTGAATGTTTGTTGATTTAGTCCTCATTATATGTAAATCATGTATAAAATGCTGATAAATTTTTACTTTTAGTACGAACATAATAAATAGTTAGAGGAAGCTATTGCTATTAACAGATTTGTTTTATTCTGCTAAACTACAATGTAACGTAACTCTGATTTTATGGCTCCAAGGAAACCGAAAACCCGAATATGTTTTATATTAAAATATGCTACTAGTTTCTTGAATAATCTAGTAGTGTTTAGGAAGTTTTTGAATGCAAATTGTCCATATATTTTCTAATTATCTATTCATATCTATCAGTCTACCCATCTATCTACACATACAGTATGCATGTCTTCCTATCTATTTATATACATTACTCATATATCTATCTATCTATATATCTATTACTAATCAACAGTAATAACCCAAATTTACCGCATTATTGTAGTCCGGGAAGTAAGGTACTAAGTAGTAGGCAGCTATCAAGCAGGGTAGAGGTACTCCAGGTCCGAGAGTCTAGGAGGTACTACCGCCTGGGAAGATTTTGGAAGCATTATGTGTTGTCTAATGGTAGACGCTGCTGCCATATGGCATCACAAAAATTGTGACCACGTTCCAGGTTGCTGATCTGACTTTCTGCCTCATTTACACACAATTGCAGGTCTCAATTGTTTCTGTTACTTTGACAACACTACATAAATAATGTGTATTATTACTCACTCTTGATTTTTTTGTTTTGTTTTGTATTTATTTATGGTTATTATTATTATTATTTTTATTATGTTATTAATTTGTATAATAATAATAATAATAATATTTATGTTTATTATTATTATATTATTATTGTTATTATTATTGTTATTATTATTATTATTATTATTATTATTATTATTATTATTATTATTATTATTATTATCACTGCTACTACATTTTCGCCCCCAGGCCCCGATGTGGGTCAGTGACCTGTGCCCGGGTGGGCTAATCCCCATAAAAGAAAAAAAATGTGGCACTGCACTACTTATGTGGAGTGCCACCTCTTGGCCCCACCGGCTGTGGTCCATCCACTCCAAGGGATCTGAATTCTTTCAAACTAGCCAATTTAGGATGATGATGTCGATCCCTAGCACAGTATTGCTCTTCAAAAGCGATAACTTTTTTGAGTGCGACCCAATTTTGAACATCTCAGAAACTTCATGACCCATTGATTCAAATACAAAAAATAATTGTCAAATCAATTGTATTGTCATATTTGCTTGATAAAAAAATGGCTAAGTTAACAGGAGTTATGAATCTGCTTATCATTCACCAGCTTCTTGAAGCATGCCGAGGCTGCACCTCGTCGTGAATCGGCTTTAGCACGTTCCTCTGTAATGCTTATAGTGGTAGGTGGTGACAAACAGGACACAAAATAGATGTCTGAATTTTTGGCTCTGCCAAGATTTTACTTTAAGCACATTTCATGATCCCAGCTTAGATTCTTAGATAGGCCCAAATTTTAAGCTAAGCATGGAATTTAAGATTCCACTTAAGAATGCTTCGTGACCCCTGGCCAATGTTTTGGTACAAGTACCACTCCCCCTTCTTTTTTTTTCAATTTACTTTTATCCTCTTCAACACTGATCGGCTCATTAGCCGCTTGGGCGATCGGTCACGTCTCTGTTATGCACTGTTGGCAAGTACTGGGCATGTACTGGCTCCTGAATGTATCTGAACCTGCTCTAGTGCTGTTCAAGTTTGGTCTTGAAAGAGCTCACACTCGTTTCCGTCACAGCACCCTTGGGGTTAATCTTCAAGTGACCCTAAACGATAGGGCTTGGAGAAGGTAACATCCACAAGCAGTAGGGTAATCATCACAGTTTTCCATGTATTATTTTTATTTCTTACAAGTTGTTTATTCAGAGCAAACATAAGCAAATTAATGTTACATACTCGTACATCAATCATAGGAATAATGAAAAACAGTGTAGATGAAAATAGCTTTACTGATGAACTCGTGCCATGTGCATTGAAGTGAATGAAGCCACAATGTTGACACAACTTAAATAGACGTGAAATGAACCACACGACTGTGGCTTAATCTACCCTGCAATATTAATGTGTAACTGGGAAAAATTAAAAAAAAATTATGTCTCTAATTCTAGAAGTAAGTTTGGAAGTAAGCATACAGTATATGCAAACACCTGTAGGGCATAATAATTTCTGAGGTGTTCAGCTATATTCATATCCAGGAAGTATAAAACAGAAATTGTCATAAGAGTTAGTTATATTGAAATCACCTGTAAAAAAGCTCTTGTGTTCCCTTATTCCATATATAACTGTTATACTACTTTTTGGTTGCATTAAAAGCATTCTTTACAAATAATATAATTTTTGGAACTATGCTGTCTTGCTTATGTTTTTGTAAGGACAGGAAAAAAATGTTCATTAGAAGAAGCAATAAGAGAGGTTAAGGTATGCAGCACTGGACGGAGCATGGATATGTGTACAGTACAGGCAGGATGGGGTCATGTGACACGTCTTGAGATGGAGCAAACTTACAGGAGAGCATTACATCACAAGGTAGGATAAACATGTCAATTATCTATGAGAAACCCCTCTGCTATCACTTGGGCCATCAACAACATGTAGGAAATTGGCAAATGCTCAAAACCAATAGGGTATTACATAACAAGGGAGGATAAACATGTTATTGATCAAAGATGAACCCTTGTTATCTTAACATGGATGACATAGGCAAATGCTGAACACCTTTCACACTTCTTTGCTCAGGTGTGTGGGTTGGATAGTATATGACCTATATAATTGCAACTTTGTCAGCTTGCTATCCATTCAGTTGACCTACTGGGTACGTATAGGCTAAACTGTGTTCCAGATTAGGACTCTAGCACTTATTTGAGCAAATGTGATATTAAGTATTAGTTCAACACAAGAGAATGGCCAAGGTGAAATTTGCTAAGCTTTCAGGACTGCCAAAACTACATGTATAACTTTAATAATTTCTCTGCATAATAATTTTAATATAGTTATGCAAAAAAAATTATAAATACTTTTGCACAAATATATAAAGGTGATTGAAGTTATCTATAATTAATCTGGCACATTTTTAAAGCTAAATATATTTAATTTATAGGATAAAACTATCTCTATGGTGGAATATTTTTGTTGGAATATCATCCAAGTCAAAATCTATACATAACAATATATATAAAACACATTTTTAATTTTCATATTATTTATGTCACAACATGCAAAAATCAATGCAAAAATAATCTTAACATGTACTTGTGTGCAGTACAGTATACGGGTATGCATATTATAATCCACACTCAGGTAGTCTTTAGAGCAGTCAAAGTACTACCTATTTGAAATGAAAAATATTCCTCTATATCATCTATTTGTTATATTTAATGTTCAAAATCTGCCCAAATTTATCAATTAAATAAAAGTAGCTGTTGAAATGAAAAATAAGTGGAGCCATGACAGCAACAACCCAAGACCTAGGTTATGTGTCAGTTAACAAGCTGCTGCAACAAACAGTTTTTATAACCAGTCAAAAATACTTCTACAAGTCCAGAGTTAGAAAAGCCTCACCCCAACAGACAAAGAAAACTGTTAACATTATTTTTACAACAAAAATGACAAAAATATTGCTAACGAACATACTAAACTTTCAGTAAACATCTTGTAGTTGGTCAGGCAAGACATTATTACAAAGTGACGTCAAAATGTGAGGTGAAAGAACTCATTTTACATTCATGTCTTGAAACACACAAACCCACTCTGTTCTGTGGCTAAACTGAAATACAGTACTAACTTAAGAGAGATTGGTGTTTATAAATGTGACGTCATACCTGGAAGAAACTTGTATTTAATGAACACAGCCAATGTATCTATGAAAAATGTCATGAATGATCGTGAAATGTGTGGTCGAGTATTAACCTTATACCAGCTGAGCTCACACATAATCTGATGTGTGATCCTCAAGCCAAGTTGATGTCCCTGTGAGGGGTTTATATATTTAATTATCACAAAGATTTTTTTCTTATTCGTGAGATATTTATGCTACACACTATTCTGAGTTTCAATTATGAATTTATAAGGGAAGTATCTGAAACGTTTGCTGTCATGCCTTCTCAACTGAATCGTTTGTGAGAGGCACGAGCAATGGAAGTGCAACCCTCTCAAACATAACCAGATATTACTAGCATTTGTAAGAGCAAATACATCCAAGTTCACTGCAAGAGCACCTGAAAAATTACCACAAGCTTAAAAATATCGGATGCATCTGATATGATATATCATGGTAATTTACAAATGATTTTGATATATCTCAGATAATTTAAATCTTCAAGAATCGTGACCCTGTACAGACTCAGGAGATGTACATATGAGAGTAACTGTGAAGTCATTATACATCACTGGCTGGTATTATTATAAAAAGATGATATCATGAAGTGTATGTCAAACTCTATACAACAAATGATGGTTAGCACCTTTTTCCTTGATGTCTTTATAGAAGAACACTGTGGTGGAATATCTAAAATTATCACCCTCACATGTAATAACTACTGTACTTAATTACCCTCACGTATAATGTACCTCTTGCTAATTATTTATAATTCATTGTGGACACTTCATGTTCTTCCCTTGTTAGAATGTACTACTGCTTGGAAATATATAGTATATACTATACTGTATATATAGTATAGTATATTTTTGAGGGGTTTATAATCTAATTGTCAGGATACAGGTCAATAAGGAATGTCTTGCAGTATGTTTTTCTTATCATTATCTGAAGAAAAAACTGAAACTTCAAGCAATAAACTGAGCCATTCCTGAGTCTTCTTACTACTCGATTATGAAATTCTTAGGATAATGATATTCCTGGGGTAATGTTATGCTTGGGATAGTAACATTTTAGGGATAATGTCATTCTTGGAACAATAAACAGTGCAGTATTATTCTTGGAACAATATTATGATTCTTGGAACAATGTTGTGATTCTTGGGGTGACGATATCATTCGATAAATGTTATTCTCGGATACTCGTAGCTGATGGTGGGGTAGTGGACGTAGCAGCCAGGGTGGGAGGTGGGAGAGGGCCGTCGATTCGTCAGGTTCACTGGTTCCTCAGCTTGCCCAAGTACTGTGAGTGTTTGATACCGAAGCTAAACTCTGGGGTGGTCTTGTTCTCCGACTGAAGGAATGGGAAGAAAAGATTATACGTAAATGGATTAATACTCATTAGTCATCACAAGAACCTGATGACTTTTTTTCTTGTATTATTTAGTTGATACTGTACAATGATTTTTTTGAAATATGGTTGTTAATCACTGGACTTTGAAATAAAGTAAATTGAAAGTAAATAATTCAACTTTAAAATCTACTGAAAAAATATGGTCAGAGTTCAAAATATATTGAAAGTGTATGATTGAACTTAAAAATCTACTGAAAATAAATAATAAAACTTTGGATCTTGTTGAAAATAAATACAGTACAGTAGTTAGACTTTGAAATCCATAGAAATTCCTGAAAGTAAATACCTTAAGTGGAATTTGAAATCAAGTGTCATATAAAATTGGACTTTCAAAATAGAACCTCACTAATTTGACCTCCACCAATTTTAGGTACCGGCTAATTAGTATATTTTTCATATGCCCGAAATATCCAAGTTTTCAGTTAATTGTACGAATTACTTGTACTACTTAAAGTTTGTACGAAATCTACCCATGTGGTCCAAGCGGCCAGCAGGTTGGAACAGGCAGTTTCTCTTTGTGTGGGCCTACGAGGGCACCAATTCGTATACAATACAGAGTATTTGATATGCAGTACAGTACGTATTATATATATCTACCTGCTACCAATACAAACCTTAGTCTCTCTTTTTGTTAATATTAACTTTACTCTATTTTTAGTGATATTTCATTACAATCTAGCCAATACCGTATCTACCAATTTTTTAGATAAGATTATGATTTTTATGAATATTAACTTGGTAAGCAATAAGCATTAGGGCTGGCATAGCAACCAGCCTAGCAACAAGATGGTACCAATACCTGAATATTTAGGCGTTGGTACTGCCTAGGCCTTCAACGAAAGCAATAGCTGGTAGTACAGTACTTCCATTAACTGTATTTTACATGTATAGTACTGTCATTTGAATGGGGTAGAGTCCGAGGATCTCAAATTAGCGAGGCTCAAGTGTATACACAGTATTATTTAAGTTTGAGATGAACACCAAAACAGATACAATTACAAGTAAATATTGTACAGCAGTTCATAGATTATGGGTAGTTAGTGACTGGAAATTTAAGATAAAATAACTAATTCCTCCACTTTGTTAAGATTAGCAGGAGTAAAAAAAAAAACTTCTGGAGATTATAGGAAGTAAAGCATTGACATACTGTATAGTGTATAATTTACAAGGGGATGGAAATAGGGAGAGAGGAGGAAGACAAAGGAGAGATGGAGGTAGAGATAAGAATAATAAAGGAGAAAGAAGGATGCACAAGGATTAAGGAGATTGGACATCTAGGAAGAAGCTGCAGTGTGTGTGAATGAGAGGAGAGCTTAATTATTTGTTGGCGTCGAGTGATTTTGAACGGTGGAAGACACTGTTGATAAGTGATGCTGGCTTGTGTGAAGTCACAGGGATTAATCACATTTGGGGCCTTGAGAGCACCATAGCAGAACATTTTATTATTAATGACAATACTGTATTAAATAAATGACAATGCATAAAGAGAAAATGTACAGTATGTGTGTATTTGCTCGTTTTTGGCCACCCTATACTGTACATCAACCGGGAATTAAAAAGAAATGTTTCTGTAAGTCCTGTTTGATCTCATTTTAATTGACAATAACAATACAGTATTAGACTCATGGCAATTCTAGGTGTGTTTCTCTGTCTCTCTCTCTGCTATTCTCCATTTTCCAATTTATCTCAATGTTACAAGAGGATTTTGTTGAGTCTCTTCTATAATATTAATACAGCTAAGAAATGTTTCAACAATATTTACATCACAACAATGAAGACATACCATTCTTAACAAATTTATTTATTATTACTCATTGGATTCTGAAATTATTCTGTCCTTATTCTCCTGCCGTAGGATTATCATTACTGCAAACGATTAATGCTACTTACTTCCGGGAAAAAACAATGTATTGCACAATGTTTTCAGTATTGTCCTAACACATATAGAAATGATTTTCTGGGATAAAAAGATGGAGCAGATAGTAAGATGCTTCTTCCTGGTTCTTGGTCTTTAACATGACTGCTTACCTGCCTCATCACCCACAACCTCAACAACCTCCGTGGCACCTACCGACTCTGACTTCTCTGGTGAATAAGCATTGGGTGCTGGCTTTTGAGTGTGGTCTGTCGGTAAGGTGGTTTTGGGTGCCATAGTGAAGGCTGGTAAACTGACTCTACACTTGTCCAGGTTGCCAGCTTCATAGGTACCTGGGCCAGGCACCCTCATCTTGTCTACTTCAACAGCAGGGCGAGGAGCCATGGTGAACTTTGGTCCCGAAGGCACATACTGAACCATAGGGAATCATGCTCAAAACTACCTATGTATCTGTCTCATACTTGTAGATGAGTTCTAAAACACTACATAAGTAAATTCAATTGGCATCTTGACAAGAAACGATGACCATATGTGTGCAAGTTACTTTACATATATACAGGAAAGATATAAGGCCAGGACTTATATGTACTGTACCTTTATCCTTCCAGGTTTAGTAATTCATTATGGATGGCTGATCGTTAGCTACCAAAACCTTTGAGTACTGAAGCGGAAGTGATAAAAATTTATGAAAAATCAATCAAGAAGCAAGCAATGCACTTAAAAAAAGAAGACAGTGCAAACTAAACAAATTCAAAATCATCTCTCTGGTCTATAACTTGTATACAGTTGAAATTACAGTACTGATATTGTGCACAAATTACTGATAAATGCAAAAAAAGAAAATTATAAATAATACATGGAATATAATCCTGTATCATGACCACACAGAGGATGAGTAAGAATCAGGTTGGTAATATAAGACAGCAAGTGGTACACAATTATGCATGTGAAACTTAAGCGTGTTAGAAGTTATCCCTTCCCCCACCTGCTGTGTACCCTACTGTGTGGTATTTGTTGTGGTCCCTGTAGTGTGGTCCTCATCTCCACGGTCTTATGAATACTCCCGTGTTGTCCCTTTCTTCTTGTATAGTGTGGTCCTCTCCACCTGTTGTGTACTCTGTCATATTCTTCCCTCAATGGGTAGTACTTCCTACCTGATGGTGTGACTCCCATATGGTATAGTTCTTGATCCCCTCCAATAGTTTGTGTGGTTTTATTATCTCCTCTGGTTGCTTGGATCCAAAGTCTTTAGTTATGTAGCCTTAGTTTCTCTTTCATGTGATCCTGACCCCTCTAATGGCTGTCCCCTTAGATCTTTCATCTGACCCTGACCCTTCTGATGGCTGTCTCCTTTAGGTCCTGATCTATGTGTTGTATGAATATTCCCTCAGTAAGTGTATAATGTGTAAACCGATTTTTCTGTCACGTCAACGCTCTCTGACTCACTACCCACCTTATCTGGAGAGTAGGCATTGGGTGCGGGTCTAGGACTGTTATCAACGATCAGGTCGGTCTTTGGGGACATAGTATAGGCCGGCTGTTTTTCTCTGCACATATCAAGATCACCAGAGTTGTAAGAGCCTGGGCCTGGGAAGTTCATTTTGTCCATTTCGTCAGCAGGTCTGGGAGCCATGGTGAACTTGGGGCCGGAGGGCTGATACTGAACATGAAGATTACATGCAGTTCAGATTGCCAGTGTATAGTGCTATAAATAATGAACTAGTCATGCCTCAGTGAGACATGCAATGTTCATCTAACATCAAAAAAGGAAAAATACAACAAACCTTTTGGTGTAGAAGTGTGTCATTTAAGAGTACCTGTACAACCTTTCATGGTGATCATAAAAATACAGGTGATGAGGTAAGCCGCCTGTGTTTAGTCCTTAACATGACTGCTTACCTGCCTCATCACCCACAACCTCAACAACCTCCGTGGCACCTACCGACTCTGAATTTTCTGGTGAATAAGCATTGGGTGCTGGCTTTTGAGTGTGGTCTGTCGGAAAGGTGGTTTTGGGTGCCATAGTGAAGGCTGGTAAACTGTTCCTACTCTTGTCCAGGTCACCTGCTTCATAAGCACCTGGTCCAGGCACCTTCATCTTGTCTACCTCATCAGCAGCTCGGGGGGCCATGGTGAATTGTGGTCCCAATGTCACATACTGAACCACAGGGAATTATGTTCAACACTCCCTAAGTAACTAATGTACTCCTTTAAGATGAACCCTGACACATGTATAAGTTAGTCTTATAAAATCACACATGTGGAAGCTTATGTATAGAGGAGCGATGCAAAGTAAGGACATTCCTGTGCTATTATCTTCTCAAGTTCAACTACCCGGTATTTATTGTGGCTGAGACTTAAATCAGCTTACTAAATCTTTAAAATGGTCGTGCAAAAAAAAAGATATTATCTATGAAAAATAACACAACAAAAAGTAGACCTTGAACTTATGAGACAGCAGCAAGGTAACTAACATGATCCTAAGAACCATTATATTATTTTCTCTACTAAACAAGTAAGTTACAAATGCAAACCAAAGTATGGAAGAATTTTCTGAATGTTAGCAGCTCCTGGAGAAGTAATTATAGGTGTTGGTAAACTGTAATAAATCTATATTACTTTTGTGAGAAGTTATTATGATCACATCTAGCTGACCTACTCTGGGTCCTTATGTTATGGGGTTGTTTATACAGTACTGTACTGAAGTGTAGTGTTTAACTCCCTTGTTGTGCTGTCTCTGCTCTGAGCTTTCAAGTGGACCCCATTGACTGTTCCTGACCCCAAACTGAGGTATAATTCATTATCCTCGTGTTGTAGGTCACGTGTAGTCCTAAAGGCGAGGTCCTGTGTAATTCCTAATGTTGGGTTATTCGTGCCACTGTTAGTTGGCCAGTGACTTCCTTCTTAGCTGTGTGAATGTTAACCTACTATTATATGATCCCAAAAGGTATTAATGTAACTCCGTACCACTGGTGTAGTATGTCCCTTGAACCCGCTACTATGAAACCCATCAGATATGGTCTCCCATCCCAGTGTGTGACAACTAGTACCCTCTGGCTCACTCCAGTACCCACCTTCTCTGGAGCGTAAGCATTGGGCGCAGGTTTAGGACTGTTATCAGCAGGCAAGTTGGTCTTTGGGGACATGGTAAAGGCCGGTTGTTTCTCTCTGCATTTATTGAGATCGCCAGAGTTGTAAGAGCCTGGGCCTGGGATGTTCATTTTGTCCTCTTCGTCAGCAGGTCTGGGAGCCATGGTGAACTTGGGGCCGGAGGGCTGATACTGAACATGAAGGTAACATGCAGTGCAGGGTGCCAGAGGGTATAGTGCCAAGCTTTATGTGCCACTTATGTCTCAGTTGAAGCGTGCAAAGTGCATTTGATAAAAAATTACAACATCAAAGAAAACACAACTAACCTTTCATAGTGGAAGTATACAGTATCTCTGACTAACACAGTGATCATTACAGTATATCTTCAAAATCAAAAACTAATGTATTACTGTCTTTATCAAGCTGTAAAAAGACAGTAAAGGAAATGAAAGCTGCTGAATGTACCTTCTCAGGACAGTGGGCTCCCGGACCAGGCTTCATGGTGTGGTCGGAGGGGATGGTGGTGCGCTGGCCCATGCTGAAGCTAGGGCTCTTATTGGTCTTGTACCGATCTACCTCGGACTCGTTGTAGGAACCTGGACCTGGCACCTTCATCTTGTCCTCATCAGGCAAGGGTCGGGCAGACATGGAGAAACTTGGGGCTGAGTGCTTGGAGCCTTCCTTAGTAGAGCCCAGCAGGGAGGGGATGGAGTAGCTGTTTGGGGCTGTGGAGGAAAGAGTCCACTTAGCATAGTACAACATAAATCCCTCTTACATGCAGCTGTTTACTTTGATAATGATCCTTCTTTTCATTAGATCCTGTTACCTTTATTTGTACCTAATATACAGTATCCAATAGAGTGAACCAGATAAGTGTTTCCTCAGTAAAGTACTTAAGTTCTAGTCTCCTATTGTCTCCATGTATAATGCAGTATTATGAACTTTCAGAAAATACCATTATAAACATGTGTAACTTCCTATAATCCTACAATGGTGTTAACCTAATGTCAAACCACGCCACGCTTCCTCCCTTAAATACTGAGAGTCTGATACACACCTTGCTCTATCCCTCCCTCAAATATTGATGCTGTTATCTTACATTCATCTTTTAATTTAAAGTGGTCATCAAACATCTAGCCACGTAAGGTAAAAAATAAAATCTTACCGAAGGTTTCCTGGAAGTTAAACAAAATCTTTCTTTGAGACAACAACAAACGGAATGATTTTCAGCAAACCTGGAGCATCTGAGGGTTTCCCATCGTCAGTCTTCACGCCGAAGGAGAAGCTCGGGGACGACTCGCACACCTTGGCCTCAGCCTTGTCGGGAGAGTAGTCACAGGGGGCTGGGGTGAGGTGCATCTTTGGGTCTTTAGGCCTGATGTGCATGGAGGCTCCCACTGGCTCATCCTTACCTGGAAAACAACACCACAAGAATGTCATCCATGTTTCTGAGTACTTGAGGAAGGAGAGAAAAGCTAGTCATACGAGGGAGGCATCAAGGTGTAAACATAAACAACATTTCCAAAGGTACTGTATTAAGCACCTGAGTTATATCCTGTGTATGAGTAGCTTCATTGACAGTTATGTACGTGAGATAAGGAATACTCGTAAATTGGACTTCCCCCATATCAATAAAGGTCCCGTCAAAAAATAAGATGAAATTAAATGGTGGAGCTAAACTAATTCGTTCACCAAAATAAGACATACAGTAGATCTAGGTTGAAATTTATCAGTATATCTAAGATACATAAGTTGTAACTGACCCTTGTTGGAGAGTCCAGTGACGTTGTATTGGCCGGGTCCTGGTCCAGCTTTATCGGGCCTAGCTTCATGACGGCTACCCATGGTGAAGGCCGGTGGACGGTTCTTGGTCGCTCCACCTGAGCCTGAGGAGCAAAGCCATCTCGTTAACACATCTGGTTCATATAACACCTGGTTAACACAACATCTGTTTAACATGACACCTAATAAACATGACCTCTGTTTAACACGCTATCTGGTTAACACAACTAGATATGTTATGCCCTGTATTAAGTCATCACATCACCTGTGTTATAGGTGTACATACATACCTACATACATACAACCTTACATATGAATGCAAAATAACATTGAAGAATACCTTGTACAGGGGAGAGGGAGGGAGGGAGGGAGGGAGGGACTTAAGTCTATACAGTACCTCTGATTTAATTCTCCATCCTAACCAGACACTAAGAACTAACCTCAAACATTTTCCCTTCATGACTAAAGTAACGGTAATAACAAACACATGAACACGTTATCCTTCGCATCTAGTGTGAGATTAAAACAATATATATCCAAGTGTTACAAAAAGCCAAAAAAAAAAAAAACGATAGAGGTATTTTGTTTGTGGTATGAGGCAGGTGGTGGTGGGTAGTGGAGAGCCTGGGGTGTACAATGGCCTCTAGTGTAGGGTGGAGCACGCACACACACACACACACACACGTACACTCCCTCAAAACAAAGGACACGGGCAGTATAACACCACCTGTATTTTAACAACCAGTAATTACGGGTAATTCCTCACTGACATGTTACTGGCTTACAAACAAGTATTCATTTAATTAGTCAATGGGAGGTAGAAAAGTGTGTGTGTGTGTGTGTGTGTGTGTGTGTGTGTGTGTGTGTGTGTCAGACTGCCTACATCCACCAAGGTTACACAATAAACAGCCTTCATTCTCCACATAGTGTCCAGGTGTTCCTTTTGAGAACGTCTCTTTTTTTTTCAGTAACTTGGTCCACCTTCAACTAAATTTATGAATGGGACGCTATTTATCATGATTGTTTTATTTTTCTCTTCAGAATAAACATCCTCCAGAACATTCAGGTAACATCCAGAGAAAATTACTATTGTGTCGTGACCTCGAGACTGCCACCCCAGAATGAGTTAGTCGCCACGGGAGTCACAGTTATATTTCTACACTGTGTCGACCTTAACCAGTACTTTTTATGGTGGACGTGTTCAAGTACGCCTCAAGCCTTCCTAACAATGATAGTTATTCCCACACACTGCTAAGAAAAAAAAAGGCTTCATTAATAATATTTGCCACCCATTTGCATCACCTGAAGACTACACATCCTAAAATATTAACCTAATTATAGTTGGGTTAGGTTAAAGTAGGTTAGTTTTGTTTAGGTTAGTGTAGCTTAGAATAGGTTAATCTAGGTTAGAATGTACAAAAGTGCACTGCCCACATAATAGAGCCTTCACCCTGAGACCACCTCCTCCTCCTATGTTCATGTTTAGTGTGTATGAAAACCAACGCCTGGAATCTGAGGAAGACCCCCCTCTGCTGGCTCTACATCAACCACCCTCACCTTTTAACCAACTGACCTTAAAACAGAGGGAGGAGATATTATTACACGATAAGACATAGTGTGGATGTGGAGAAGCTGAGTGTGTGATGGGTGATACAGTAATACGGGAGGTGTTCATCTTGTTACAAGCTGAAGGCACCGTCACACCCAGCCCTAACCTTCCTTTGTTTATTCTACCATCCCATCTATTCCCCTCACGTTCCATCTGTCATCCCTGTTCCACTCCAAGTTCCATCCGTCCTACTACCATTCCATCACTGTTCCACCTATCCCACCATCATTCCATCGCCATTCCATCCCTCTTCCACCGCCGTTCCAACCGTCCCCCGCTCCATCATGGCTGCCCTGCTCTCGGCATCATATTTTCCCCAGGCAGGGCAAGATCCTGCCACACAGCCGGTGAAGCCCTTCATGGCGTGATGGATGTCAGGCTAGTGAGGGAGGGAGGGAGTGGACCTGTGTGGTGTAGGGAGGACCTGAGAGAGAGGGAGAGATAGAATAGGGAGGGAAGGAGAGGTAGGGAGGATAGATGGGTGGACTGGTAGTTGTCCTCCAGACTCGTCCACGACCACCTGGTCAAGAGGACAGCGGTACACGCCCTTCCTGTTGCAGGTGAGAGGAGGGCCAGGCGTGGGTGGCACTACCTTGTCTAGGATGCCTCTACCATTTCCTTCTTACAGTATTCTCTACCATACACTACTATCAACACCACACAACCACTACTACTACTACTACAACACAGCATCTCAACCACTACTACCTGCCACTATCCACTAGCTATCATCACCATTACCCACAACCATCACCACTATTACCACCACCACCACTATCATCACGACTATCTCAACCACCAACACCACTCCTTCACGCACTCCTCTCCCGTGACACACTCAAACTCCTCACGTCAAGGTATTAGTGAGTTTTTATGACATGAAGATTTTGTTATTATAATATTTTTTTGTTGGAGGGAGAACTATTTATAGCAACTAATGAGTGGTGTGTGTGTGTGTGTGTGTGTGTGTGTGTGTGTGTGTGTGTGTGTGTCAGAGGATACCGTCATGCGAAGATTGGTGATGTAAGCGACTGATTCTGCATTATGAATACACACACACACACAAACACACAATTACACCTACACCAACACTCGCATCACACCCACACTTACACCTACAACACGCCCACACTTACACCTTCATCAAGCCCACACCCACACAGGAGGCAACACAGGCTGGATTAGTTAAGGTCAAAAGACTTTCACTGATGATTCTGACCTTGACCAAGCGAGGTAAGATGGCACTACTACCACCATCATCACAATCACTACCACCATTACTACGACCTACCACCATTACTACCCCTACCACAACCACCACCCTTACCACCATTATCACTACCATTACCATCCCTACAAACCATTATCACAACTTATATCACCATTACCATAACAACTACCCCTATACCATTACCACAATTACTACCCCAACCACCATCATTACCACCACACAGTTACCAATAGAGGTTCACCTGCCCACCTCATATGCCCAGGTGTCAGTAAATGAGTCATTGTAACCTTTTCCTGTTGTGCCCAGTCTAGTACTTACGTCATACTGGAAGGGGCATTTAGTACAGCAGGTGTGTGATGCCGGGCAGGTCTGTGGTGCAGGGCAGGTGTGTGGTGCAGGGCAGGTGTGTGGTGCAGGATAGGTATGTGATGCAGGGCAGGTGTGTGGTGCAAGGCTGGTTTGTAATACTGAACAGGTGTGTGTTTGATGCAAAAAACAGGTGTGTGGAGAGTTCGCCACCACCTGCACGTAAGCACACACACACACACACAGGTAACATGGGTAACACTGACGCCTTTAGTAATGTTGACCTTGAGGAGGTAGATGTCAGGTGAGGCTCCACCGCCCAGGCCGCCCACACCCAAATCTGTGACCCCCTGACCCGTGAAGGCCGCGGCGACCCGGAGAGAGCAAGACACGTCACTCCCCCCACCCTCCCCCCCAGCAGGAGTTATTACTGCACCACACACCACCTGGGTCTGCCTCCTGTCACCTGTGTCACGCAAGCTACCACACTCATCTTAATTCCTCTGGATCTAGTCACGGTCTGGAGTAATTTAGGTGCTTCAGTAATCGTTGGTATCTGCAGAGTCTCACAACACAGGTTTAAGAGCACCGAAGTATACGGATTATGAGAAGGAGGAGGTGGGTGGTGAAGCTCCGTCGGGAACAATAGGTCCTGGCATCTACCATCAACACCCTCGTATTACATACCGCCCCTGGATGGTACAACACAGGTGGCGAGGAGCGTCATCCGTGGCACAGTGGCCGCCGACCCGCGTCACGAGCTGGTGGTGTGACGTCATGCCCCTCAGTCTCAGGTCACGCCCCCCCTTCCTCTCATCAAGCTCCTCCCTCCCCCCCCCTTCCCCCTCCAAGCATACAGTGCACCATACCGTTTTCCTCATCACTAGACACCACCTCTCTTACCAGTCACCACCACACACCATCTCCCTCACCACAACACATCACAGAGAATTAAATACCGTTCACCATCGGATCTCAAATAACAACACACAACGTAAAGAAAAGCCTAGGAAGTACTCAGTGAGGGAAATACCTCAGAGGAAGGTTCTCACTCCTTTCTGGGAATTCCGTCATTGCACCCCCAGGCAGGCGAGTGGACATGGACGCCATTTAAGGTGAAGGGATACAGTTGTTTATGTGTGAAGAATAATAGATGAGAGAGGGCGAGTAAGTTACGAGTCTTACACCATCCTGCTCACTGTAAACACACACACACACACACACACACGAGTGACATCACCAGGATCATAGCAAAGGATAGTGTCACCATCATCAGGGACAGTGGTAGTGGTGTTGGTGGTGGTGGTGGTAAAGTGGTGGTTGGTAGTGATGTGGTTGTTGGTAGTGATGGTGGTTGTTGGTAGTGATGGTGGTTGTTGGTAGTGATGGTGGTGGTTGGTAGTGATGGTGGTTGTTGGTAGTGATGGTGGTTGTTGGTAGTGATGGTGGTTGTTGGTAGTGATGGTGGTTGTTGGTAGTGATGGTGGTTGTTGGTAGTGATGGTGGTTGTTGGTAGTGATGGTGGTGGTTGGTAGTGATGGTGGTTGTTACTTGTTAGTGTTGAAGTGTCTGTCTCCCTTACCCGTCCAAATCTGAATCCTCCACCCACAACCCACCCCCTTCCACCCATAACCTATCTCCTCCACCAGCAATTCACCCCCTCCTCCACACAGAGAGAGTTCATCAACAGCTTCACATCACCACAGGTTTATCAGCTTTGAGGTTCTGCTAGGTGATCAGGGCAGGTGGCCAGGCGTCTCTTCTTAGGTTAGGTTAGGTTAGGTTTTATCTCCAGCAGGTGCAGTAGGAGTGTACCCAAGCCTGACGACGCAGCACACCTTCAGATCACATCATATAAAAAAAAAATTATATACTGTTCTTGGTACCGCATACCTGAGGACGCCCACACACAGGTGAACCTCCCGAGTGTTGGACCAGCAAAGCTCACAGGTAAACGT